ATCTTGGGCAGATTGCAAGGCAACTCGCCGAAGCACCTCTTCGGGAATCATCTTTTTGAATGGATGTATTGTGATGAGTGTTTGCAGAACACAAGCTTCAGTGTCCCTTTCATCATGTGAGGCTGAGCTGTATGCAGCCAATGGGTTGATGGTTGAGAGCATCTACCTTTACAGGCTTTGCAAGTTCTTGTGCGGTGATGGATGTGAAAACAACAGCGAAAAGGTCCAACAACGACTTTTCTTGGATTATTCTTCAGCTCTTGGCCTCATACGCCGAAGTGGGACAGGCAGATTGAAACACATTCAAATCAAGCAGTTCTTCTTGCAAAACCTCTTGCGATGTGGTATTTTCACAGTGCACAAGGTGAACACCAAGATCAATCCTGGAGATCTGAACACCAAAAGGCTTGGAGGAGAGAGACGCAGTTTTCTGGGAAGATTGATTGGGTTGTTCGTGCCTGGTGACAAGGAGAAGAACGATGACAATGCAGTGCGTCAAATCAGGAGATTGAATCAGATGACACGAGAGCATGTGGTGAGACTGGTGCAGATGGCTGGCATCACAATGAACATGTGTATGCAGCTGAAAGGATGTGGAAATGATGGTAGCACAGACGACAACGTTGATGACTTTCAGATGGTGTGGTGGACAGTAGTTGAATCTACACTTGGATGGTTGCTGGCAATGCTTCACCTCATCTCCACGGTATGCATCTGGACTCTCTTTCTCATGGTGCAGTTGGCAGGTATCTGTACACTTTTGGCTTCAGTGATTTTGATGATTGGTGGACCATTGATTTGGAGAAACCTTCGAGCTCTACAAGGATTTACAACACGCAATGCTCCAGGTCTCATGGGTTTTCGCTACAGGTGGTTCATTCGACCGAGTCTGTGGGTTTCTTGGTGGATGCTGCGAAATGAAATCACCTACCTCCATGCTCGTTTTCGGGCTGCAGGTCAACATGGTGACATGATGGTTGACATCGAGAATGTTTTCCAAGCTATTGATGAATACTTGACAGGTGGACAGACTTTGATCGGTGCAGCAGCAGATTTGGTGCACAATGAGGAACCGCTGGAAGAAGCTCAAGACGAGCCAATGGCGGAACCTTTTGGACCAGATGATGACATTGCTGAGCTGGCATATCAACATGCCAGGCAATTGAATGGCCACACAGTCGACAGAACAGTCACTGAAACAATGGCAGATGAACAGCGAGATCGAGAAGTTGAAGCAGATGGTGAAGATGAAGATGAAAACATGGACGAGACTCCTAGAGGACGTCGAAGACGATATTTGCAGAGCAGTATGTCTGAAGTCAGTGATCCGGATGAGTGGGCAGAAGTGCATTACGGCTCACGTGACCAATGGGATCACGAACGTATGGTTGCCTTCTCAAATGCCAACCAGTTGCGGCTCAGGCGTGCCTATCAGATCCTTCAACAGAGAAGACAGGATGCAGAGGCAGCAGCGAACTGGGAAGAGGCATCACACTACAGCCGAGCAATGGCAGAAGTTCGATCACTGATGGATTTGGCATAAGAATTTGAAACAGCTGGATGATGCCTGTGGTGAGGAATCAATGCACGAGGCCTCAGGTATGTGGAAACACACCAGCTGACTTTGCGTTCCAAAGTGAGAGACGGCTAGCTAATTTACCTCATGACCACTTTTTCTGGAACCCAAATTAATGAAAGCACAGATGGCCTTGTAACTGGCCAAAACTGGTGAGATGGCTTCACATCTTGAAAAGATGCAAAGCCAAGGTGGGGTGTCAAATTTACTCCATCGTACTCATGCATGCGGTAGGCTCCAGGTGGATTGAGGTGATACAGAGAAGATTAGCATGGCCATGGATGACACGCGCATGGAACTCAATGCACGTTGTGCCCAAACAGTGGCTCAAAGAAGCGTGGTGAAAACAGACGCTTAGTGCTCCGCCAGATTTTCTCAAAATTCAAACCGATTTGCAGTACCGTTTGGAAACCACAGCGGGGTTTGTATGGCAAATGTACGATTTCAAAATGTATGAAACCGATCCTCAAATTTGATTTGTTCCCTTTCATGCAATCGCATGGGGTTGATCACTGGGGGACATGAACATGATTTGTTTGCATTTTTTTTGCAAACAAATAGGTGGTTTGTTTTGGGAACCATTCACCAATGTGACCAGAATCATGCAGCAGTGCGTTCCACAAATTGCCGTTTAAGTGGTGTGCGTTGGGTTCAAGGAAATGTTTTTTTTTGATTGTCGAACTTTGCCATGTGACTGCAAAACAAACGTTGTTTGCCCTGAAACAAACATTGATTTTGCAAATGGTGCTGCAGATATCGGATAGCAATGTTTTCCTTCAAACGCATCCCACAAGGTGAACCAAATTTGACAAATACAATACCATACAACATGCACTGGCTGCAATGGTACATTGGCAATTGTTTGCAACATATTTGCGCTCACGGGCTAGCCCGTTTTTTTTTCCATGCAACCTTCGAACGACTCGGGCTCAGCATTGAATGTGGTTCAAAAACAACATTGAATATTTATGTACTGTCAGTTGCGACTTGTGGTTTCCTTTATGGATAACCTTTCAACCATATGTGTTTTTTCTCATGCAAGGATAACATTTTATATTGTCAACAACGCAATATATAAACCAATTTTCGTTCACACGTCACACTGTTTGATTGGTTGCAGTATCACACTTTTCTCATCTTTCATTGTCCTAGGGCTCAAAGCATGTATCGTTGCTTTTTGGCAGGTTGAGTTGTGCAAATTGACAGACAATAAGGTATTGTAATGTATTATATATACACTGTGTTTATACACTCTTTTATTCTTCCCATATTTTGCATTTTGTTCGCTTGCGCCAAGGTTCATCCAACAAACGGCGCGGGAACAGCTGTGATGAAGGCCATGGATCACACGGTCAAAAGGATAGTTTTGGATCCTGGTCGAAAACACATTGTGTGAGTGTCATTCGGATAGTCGGATAGTTGTCAATGATTTTGCATGACACTCACACTTACGTTTTTTGCATTTTTTTTATGGGCAGGTGGACTTGAAGTGTGAAACTGCTTGCCCTGCAGCGTGGCCAGCCTCCTACATCATATTGGATCAGAACCTTGTTCGAATGGCAAAGTCAGTTTTTTGCTAATCTTTTCATGTACATGCTGCATCATTTGCCACATAATTTCATGTGATTTTCATTGATTTTCATATGTCAGCGCATGTTCGGCATATTTGTTGGCGTCATTATGCCCATGATGCTACTGGACTTATTCTGTTTGCATGTGCTTCAGGTGTTCGTGGATAGAATTCCGATCTCTTTTCTTGGGCAGGGTCTGGGCATGGCTGCTGTCGGGACACCTCGCAATCGGTCATTCAATGGTTCAAATTCCAAGGAGAAGGCGGCAAGAGCAAGATGGCAACCCGTGGCACAGATTGAGTCAAAAGTTGGAGCAAGTCTTGGCGCAGGTATGGGGTGACCGGTAGTGTGAAGAAACACTTAGGCAATTTATGGCAATTTCAATGCAATTTCAATTGTCAGTTGGTGTGCTCTTTGGTTCGATGCATTTAAAAAGCGTCTCTGTGCATTGTGCCGACCATGATGACCATGTATTTCCACGTGAAGGACAGAAGTCAGACCCAGTGAAAAGAAGTGCACTGGCTCGTCACACGCACGCAAACTCTTGAGTTTCGAGAAGAAAAAAGGTCCTGTTCCGGCTTGTGTGAGTTGATGAGTTCGATGGCTCGCTTGCTACATCGCTCAGGTGTTTGCCTGTGTATTTGCATTTGTTCAGTGTATTGGTTTGTTGATTAAATTTGCCATCAAAAAGAGATCATGTGAACAGTCTTGGTTTTTGATGTTTTTTGTAGCTGTTACATTTTACACTGAGCCGCAGTATTTTTGGATCTCGCAGTGCAGCACATAGAGCTGCGTGGTTGTTTTTGAGTCAATTCAAACAATGACAACCTTTGAGAATTCGCTTGTCATGCACCAAATTAGAAGGAACACACAGAACAGATTCGACTGATTTCGACTGTATAGTTTGACTATGTTTGACTAGTTGTGGATTCACGACGTTCTCATTGAAACTCCAGAAGACTTAATGACGTGTGCTGTTTATGTTGCCGATTCGCTGGGGCTGAAAAAACACACAGTGCGCACATTTCTTGTTGAATGATTTTGATGTTTGACCGTACGCAACCACCGCAACACAACCAATCAACCAACTGTATCAAAAGAATTCAAAGGATGTTGATTGGTTTCATTAGTTACATTAGTTGATGTTTAAACGATTTAAGCGCTTCAATTTGGCTGAAGCGGCGCACCAATGATTTGATGGGCATCATTGTCAGGTCAGGTCTCAGACGGTGAGCAAATTTGTTTTCATGTACACGAGACTATTCTACTCATACAATCATATCACATCATATCACATCATATCATATCATATCACATTATATCATATCCATACGTAACCACACATGATATATACACACACACACACCCTGTGTCGGAATCCAAACAAGAATTGGGACACTCCTTTCCCTGCAAGGTCCCAAGAGCCAAGCATAGCGGGAATGCTGAGCTGTAGAAAGTCATTGGAGTCATTGGCCATGAAGTGTGGCAGAGCGAACCATGGTCCACCTCCGCTTGGCCAGCCGGGCAGAGATCACTCTGGCAGTTGCTGAGCTTCACAAAGCAGCAAAGTGCTCAAAGCGCTCAGCAAAATCTTCAAAACAAAAAACATATCATAGACTCTCTGAGAGAGTCTATAAAAATTGTGATAGACGTGAGTGCTCACGTCTTGCAAAAGGCATTGTTTGGAGACCAGAGCAGAGGTTGGGTTTTGAAGATTTTCAAGAGGAGACTTCCGTGACCCTTCAAGCACTTCAAGCATTGAAGAAGATATTGCGCAGTCTGTCGGCGACTACTCCTCGTCAGCTCTCGTTGATCGTGTGGTCTGTGGCACAGTTGAATCAATCATTGAATCAATCATTGATCAACGAGAGTCAATTGAATCAATCAAGCTCAACGAACTCAACACAGTTGAATCTGTGTGAGCTTAGATCTCTCAGATCTGGCTTGGAAGCTCAACACATCTTAGATCTGTTCGCAGAAGTGCAGTGCAGGGTCATGGAGCTGGACATGCAGGGCACGTCGATGGTGATGTGGTCTTTGGCTTTGCTGTCGTCAACCTTCCCGTCAGTGGTTCCGTCAACGCAGCCCCTCTTCGATCTCTTGGCGACTTGCGCTTCTACCAAATTGCCAGAGTTCAGCACGCAAGGTATAGCAAATATGCTTTGGTCCTGTGCAGTGCTTGACAAGGACCCTTTTCTTGCTTGGAACATAGCAATCATTAGCATAATTTAGCATATATTGAGTCAGGCCACGAGTGAAGACAGACAGGCTTCAAGAACGATCCTAAGACTTCCTAAGGATTACTAGCATTTGCATCGATTTGCATTGATTTGCTGGAAGGACCCGATGCCATTGATGCTGGCCGTCCAGCAGAAGCCTGCTGTATCGCTTGTCAAGACCTCAGGGCAGCGGACGATAGAAAAAAGACCCAACCCGCTGTAATGTTGGATGCTGATTGGTGTGTAGTAACATGTAGTAACTGTAGTACCCCCTCGAACCAATCGAGGGGTCCCTATGATGCATGTCTGGTGGGACCAGGCGGGGGAAACAAAGGGTCATGAATGTAAGCAAACATTTTAATTCGTCTGACTTCACTTTCAATTGATTGTTCTCCAAGCAATTCATACAGCTCAGTAAACCCAAGCAATGATTTTATTTTAGAGCTAACGCTCATCGTCGGCTCCGCCGGATTACTTGACCCTCGATGTCATCGCAGGGTGGCCTTGAAACCTATTGAATGAGGACCTGCTGCTTCAGAATGCTTTTTTGAACATATTCATGGATGTGTAAAAAACTTCGGTGATATCCCCAACAGCCGCAACGTTCTATTTTTACAAATTTTTCTGAAGCGTGCTGCGAAGCCAAGCGCTGAAAACACCTCAGCGTGCTCCAAAGCCTCCCAGACCTTCTCTGGAACCTTCTCCGGAACGTTGAACCTGACCTGGCTCTGCACCAAAGCCTCCCGGAACCTTCTCCGGAACCTTCTCCGGAATCCTGTTGAACCTAACCTGGCTCTGCACCAAAGCCTCCCAGGCCTTCTCCGGACCCTTTTACGGACCCCGTTGAACCTCACTTGGTTTTGCACCAAGGCTTCCTGGAACCTTCTCCGGGACCTTCTCCGGATCCCTGTTGAACCTGACCCGGCTCTGCACCAAAGCCTCCCAGAACCTTCTCCAGAACCTTCTCCGGAACCCTGACCTGGCTCTGCACCAAAGCCTCCCAGACCTTCACCGGAACCTTCCCCGGAACCCTGTTGAGCCTGACCTGGCTCTGCACCAAAGCCTCCCGGAAGTAGAATACAAAACAAAACAGTAGCAAAGGAGTGGTACCTTTTCGGGTACTAGCAGGAAAAAATCACGAAGGTCCTCTTGGGAAAAAAGGGTCTGAGAAAAAATAGCACAATAGAGCAGCACCATCATGACCCAACAAAGGGTACGAATTCATTCTCGGAGATTTGGCGCAATAAAGCACCACCGCTAGTTATCGAAGGAAGTTTAGAAGTCAAACTTCCGACAATATGGACAGATGAAAAGCAGAGCAGGGCAGAGGCAGAGGCAGAGAGAAGAGAAAGATCAGAAGAGAGAAGAGTAGAAGAGAAAGAGTAAGAAGAAAGAAGATGGAGATGCGCGAAAAGGTAGGAAAGTCGCGATTCACTGTGTTTTTCCAATGGGTTGTGGCTCCGGAGGGTTCGCTAAAGCGGCAGGTGCGGAGCCAGCTGGCCAGAGGAGAGATGAAAAATTGCACGCCGTTGTGGCGCGAAGCACATTTCCAAGTCAAAATGTACAAAACACACCATCCTCAGAGCACTTTTGGAAGTTGAGATGTCGAAAAAGTGCACGCCGTTGTGGTGCGAAGCACGTTTGTAAGTGAAAAAGCTACAAGCACCTCACGTTCGGACCACTTTTGGAAGTTGCGATGTCGAAAAAGTGCACGAAGTTGCGGCGCGAAGCACATTTCGAAGTCAAAATGTACAAAACACACCAGGGTCGGACCACTTTTGGAAGTTGCGATGTCGAAAAAGTGCACGCCGTTGTGGCGCGAAGCACATTTCCAAGTCAAAATGTTAAAGACACTAGGGGTTCGGACCACTTTTGGAAGTTGAGATGTTGAAAAAGTGCACGCCATTGTGGCGCGAAGCACATTTCCAAGTCAAAATGTTAAAAACACTCGGGGTTCGGACCACTTTTGGAGGTTCAGATGTCGCTTCGCTTCGCTTCGCATCGCTTTGCTTCACTAGATTACACTAGATTACACTACATTACACTAAACTACACTCCACTACACTACACTACACTACATTACACTACACTACACTCCACTACACTACAACTACACCTACACAACTACACTCCACCACACTCCACTACACTAAATTACACTACACTACACTACACTACACAACACTCCACTACACTACACTACACTACCTTCCACTACATTTCACTACGCTCCACTACACTACACTCCACTACACTACAACTACACAACTACACTCCACTACACTCCACTACACTAAATTACGCTACACTACACTACATTACACTACACTACACTCCACTACACTACATTACACTACACTACACTACAGTACCTTCCACTACACTTCACTACATTACACTACACTACACTCCGCTACAACTACAACTACACAACTACACTCCACCACACTCCACTACACTCCACTACACGAAATTACACTACACTACACTACATTACACTCCACTACACTACACTACACTCCACCACACTAAATTGCACGACACTTCACTACATTACCCTACACTACACTCCACTACACCACATTACACTACACTACACTACCTTCCACTACACTACACTTCACTACATTACACTACACTACACTCCACTACACTACAACTACAACTACACAACTACACAACTACACAACTACACTCCACCACACTCCACTACACTCCACTACACGAAATTACACTACACTACACTACATTACACTCCACTACACTACACTACATTCCACTACACTCCACTACCATTACACTACACTACATTACACTCAATGACACTGCACCACAGATAGACAGGTAGACAGATAGATAGAGAGACAGATAGACAGGTAGACAGCTAGACAGATGAAGGAGAGAGAGAGAGAGAGAGACAGATAGATAGATAGATAGATAGGTAGGTGGGTAGGTAGGTAGGTAGATAGTCAGAGAAAGAGAGAGAAATAGTGAGAGAGATCAATCACCTTTCGCTCCATCAGTGGCTTCGCTCTGCCATCCCTACTTCACAACAACCAACCTCTCCTATAGGTTTCCTATTTTTGAAACTTCCGCCACCGCCTTGTGCGGTACTACTGGTATTCATTTAGTGGCAAACTTGAATGGAAGCACAGATGTCAAACAGGTTTCGTTTGCTTCAACTCAAGCAGCTGCCAATATTGCGCAGAGCCCAGGATTGCAGAGCCCAAGTGTTGCCACTTGATGCCACTTGCAGCCACTAGTGGTGAACTTTCAAACGCACTCCAAGGTATGGGCGATGGCTCGCCTGTCGAGGGCGGGATCACCACTTCAAGAGGCGTTTCATGATTTCAAAAGCGGATGCCTTCTATTAGAACTAGAAGACCCCGTGCTGCGTCATGTTAATAACGTTTGTAGTACTGCAGTATGTTTGCAGCCCTTTTCTTTTCAGTCGCATGTTCCTGAGAGGAAGCAGCCAGAGTGGCTGCTCAAAAATCACGAGAACTCCAACCAGAAGAAGCAGCAGCTATTGTTTGGGCGTGGCCCGAAGATGCCCTTGAGCAAATGCAGTGGTGTGTGCCATCCAAGAGTTTACAGCTCAATCAGTCAGTTTGATAGGCTTCCGCCTAAGATTTTTTGAGGCTGTTGCAGTCCAGTCTCATTCGTGCCGTGCTTAGTTCAACTGCACTGTAGAATTCCATTTTCTTGATCTGCAAAGTTGACCGTTGGATGCCGCTTGGAAGCCATCGCGAATCAAGACAGCGAGTATTAGCAAGTTTGTTGAGTCTGAGGCAGGCAGGAAGATTACTGTACTATTTGCATTTGCATTTTGGAGCCCGTTTCCACATCAACAAAGTTCATTGCACTGACCGTTGTGGCAGAGTGCCCAGGGCAATGTAGCTGCTCGCTGCTGTCAGAAGCATGCAAATTGGTGCGCTGATGAAGACAGTCCTTGTGCTATCTTTGCTGCACAGCAGTCAAGGGCAAGAAGATCTTCCTGCGTGGCGCTTCAGGGCAACCTTGGTGGACACACTGCATCTTCCACCTGGAGCACAGGGTTCTGATCTTTTGGCCGACACAACCTTTCGGGAATTTGTCCGGAATCTTTTCTCTGGCGCTATGGTTTTGCCAATGATTCACATCCCACCCAGTGCCTTCGTGTTAGAGAATGCAACAGTATTGGAAGATGTCTATGCGGAAGCCATCAATGCGCATGGTGGAGTTGGACAGGGCAAGAAATCCGTCAGGTTTGAGGCAGTCCTGACAGTGGCAAGTAGGGCAGTTCTACCCTCAGATATGGATTCCGATCTTCTTCAGCATATGCAAACGTATAGTCAAACGAAGTTTAGGCCCATACTTCCGTAGTACAGATCTTTGGATGTCACAGCAATGGATGTCACAGCAGTGGATGTCACAGCAACGGGTGTCACAGCAAATGGATGTCACAGCAATGAATGCCAAGTGTCACAGCAATGGATGTCACAGCAGTGGGTGTCACAGCCAATGGATGTCACAGCAATGAATGTCAAGACAAAGGGTGGATGTCACAGCAGTGGATGTCACAGCAATGGGTGTCACAGCAATGGATGCCACAGCAATGAGTGTCACAGCAATGGATGTCACAGCAAATGGATGTCACAGCAGTGGATGTCACAGCAATGGTTTTCAGAGCAATGGATGTCACAGCAGTGGATGTCACAGCATTGGGTGTCACAGTAATGTATTTCACAGCAATGGGTGTCACAGCAATGGATGTCACAGCAATGAATGCCAAGACTCAAGACAAAGGGTGGATGTCACAGCAGTGGATGTCACAGCAATGGGTGTCACAGCAATGGGTGTCACAGCAGTGGATGTCACAGCAACGGTTTTCAGAGCAATGGATGTCACAGCAGTGCATGTCACAGCAATGGATGTCACAGCAGTGGATTCAGTGGATGTCACATCAATGGGCGTCACAGCGATGGATGTGACTGGAATGAGTGTCACACGAAGAGATTTCACAGCGAAGAGATCTCACAGCAAAGAGATCTCACAGAAAAGAGATCTCACAGCAAAGAAGTCTCACAGCAAAGAAGTCTCATGGCAAAGAAGTCTCAAAGCGAAGAAGTTACATCAAGGACATCTGACAGCAAAGAAGTTCTGCAGAAAAGAGATCTCACAGTAGAGAAATCTGACAGCTGACAGCAAAGAGATCTGACAGCAAAAAGATCTTACACCAAAGGGATCTCACGGCAAAGAGATCTCACAGCAAAGAAGTTTTCCAGCAAAGAGATCTCACAGCAAAGAAGTCTCACAGCAAAGTCTTCAACTTTCAGTTTTGGAAGGAGGTCTTGCACGAAAGCTTCGTTTTCACATCTTAAACTTTCACTTTTTGAGGGAGGTCTCGTACAAAAACTTCGTTTTCACATCTTCAACTTTCACTTTTTGAGGGAGGTCTTGCACGAAAGCTTCGTTTTCACATCTTAAACTTTCACTTTTTGAGGGAGGTCTCGTACAAAAGCTTCGTTTTCACATCTTCAACTCTCAGATTTTGAGGGAAGTCTCCCACGAAAGCTTCGTTTTCACATCTTCAACTTTCACTTTGGAGGAAGGTCTGGCACAAAAACTTCGTTTTCACATCTTCAGCTTTCACTTTTTGAGGGAGGTCTGGCACGGAAGCTTCGTTTTCACAGCTTCAACTTTCACTGTTTGACATTTGAGGGAAGCCTGGCACGAAAGCAGCCACTTTCCGGTCCATTAGTGGGTTCACTCTGTCATCCATGCATCACAACAACTCACCTCTCCCATAAAAGTTTCTTCTTTGAAACTTCCGCCGCCGCTTTTTGCGGTAGTACTGTTGTGTATGGCGGAACTATGTCTGCAAACTGTCCATACTATTGCACATGGACTTGTTGTTTTTCATGCCAGCAATGATCTGTTACCATTGGTACCTCTAGTTTTTTCCCACCCTGCTTTATTATATATATATATACATTTACATTTTTAATTTTGATATTCTTTTAGCGTAGATTATTTTCTTTATTTTGGGCATGTGTGCTACGTGTTGAAGAAACTCTTAGGTGGCCATGGAGATCTGGCGCATGCCGATGCTTTCCTTGGCAGGCCTCGCACCCTGGCGGAAGCTTCACATCCAAGCGATCACCGACATGAGCATCTACCAGTGAGGACACAAAGAACACACCCTGAGTCGACTCGGTTCCCAAAAGGACCATGAAGTACATAGAGTTGACACAGAGTCAACACAGGGTTGACACGTAGAGTCTTATAGAGTGTTTGAGTTTCACTCGTTTCACAAGCAGCATGACCTTGGACCACGTTCACGCAGTTCGTATGAGTTTTCCAACAGCAAAAACTAATATATGTATATAGTATAGATGTATTGTATCTTTTTTTATTTTTTATTTTTTAAATATTTTTTCTTTTTGTATTGTCTTTAATGAAGTTAGTATATATTGCATTTTTTAATTACTATATGATGTTTTGTTTTTACATTACATTATATTATACTCGATTACGTTTTTTTAATTGTACTTAATTATATCAGTTTTTTTTCATATGCCATATGGTATTTTATTGTTTTACATTAGGTTATTTTAAATTAAACTGTATTACAAGATGCTTTATTTTTCCATATTCATTTGTATATATATATATTATATTTATCTTTTATGATATATATTTTTGGTATTATATTAAACCTTTTTATTTAGTATATTTTATGATCTTCAATGATCGAAGGAAGTTCAGAAGTCAAACTTCCGACAATATGGACAGATGAACAGCAGAGATGGGCAGAGGCAGAGAGAAGAGAAGAGCAGAAGAGAGAAGATCAGAGAAGAGAAAGAGTCAGAAGTAAGAAGATACAGGTGCGCGAAAAGGTAGGAAAGTCGCGAAACACTGTGTTTTTCCAATGATTTGTGGCTCCGGAGGGTCGAAACGTAGGCTCGCTAAAGCGGCGGGTGCGGAGCCATCTGGCCAGAAAACGTGCACGCCGTTGTGGTGCGAAGCACGTTTGTAAGTGAAAAAGCTACAAACACCTCACGTTCGGACCACTTTTGGAAGTTGCGATGTCGAAAAAGTGCACGAAGTTGCGGCGCGAAGCACATTTCGAAGTCAAAATGTACAAAACACACCAGGGTCGGACCACTTTTGGAAGTTGCGATGTCGAAAAAGTGAACGCCGTTGTGGTGGGAAGCACATTTCGAAGTCAAAATTTGCAAAGCACACCATGCTCAGACCACTTTGGAAGTTGAGATGTTGAAAAAGTGCACGCCGTTGTGGCACGAAGCACATTTCGAAGTCAAAATGTACAAAGCACACACCACGTACGGACCACTTTTGGACATTCAGATCTCGTTTTCGCGTGGCAAGCGCGCAAGGGATTGTGCACCTTCTCAAACGTGAGCAAAACGTGAGGGTTTTGTAGCATTTCCAAAAACGATGGCAGGCGTGGGACATTTGAAGAGGATCTGCAAAGATGCATTTTCTGTGGCAGGCGCAGTACAAAAGACATGTTCATGAGAGATGTTAGGAGGTCAGGGCGCTGATTTCCTGAGAGGGGTTGCATTTTGGAGCATCAAATCTGTAGGTTTGCAAAGATGATTTTGCGTGACAGGTGCAGCACTTCGTAGCGGCGGGTGCGGAGCCAGCTGGCCAGATGAGAGATGAAAAATTGCACGCCATTGTGGCGCGAAGCACATTTGCAAGTCAAAATGTACAAAGCACGTGGTTGTCGGAGCACTTTTGGAAGTTTCAAAGTCGAAAAAGTGCACGCCGTTGTGGCGCGAAGCACATTTGCAAGTCAAAATGTACAAGACACACCAGGTGCGGAACCACTTTTGGAAGTTGAGATATCGAAAAAGTGCACGCCGTTGTGGCGCGAAGCACATTTCGAAGTCAAAATGTTAAAAACACCCGGGGTTCGGACCACTTTTGGAGGTTCAGATGTCGTTTCGCGTGGTAGGCGCAAGGGATTGTGCACCTCTTCAAAAGTGAGCAAAATGTGAGGGTTTTGTGCCATTTCCAAAAACGATGGCAGGCATGGGACATTTGAAGATGATCTGCAAAGATGCATTTTCCGTGGCAGGCGCAGTACAAAAGACATGTTCATGAGAGATGTTAGGAGGTCAGGGCGCTGATTTCCTGAGAGGGGTCGCATTTTGGAGCATCAAATCTGTAGGTTTGCAAAGATGATTTTGCGTGACAGGTGCAGCACTTCGTATGACCTGGCATCAATTTTTCGTGGCAGGCGCAGTACTTTAGACAGGTGGACTGGAAAAATCGCAAAACGCATTGGTACGAGGCTGTCAGCTCTGCACTCAACTTTCCATTTTTGAAGGAAGTCTCGCAGAATTCTTTCGTTTTTGATGTCTTCAACTTCGAAAAATGAGGAAGTCTCGCAGAATTACTTCGTTTCGGATGTTGTCAAGTTCAACACTACACTACATTACACTACACTACACTCCACTACCTTCCGCTACACTTCACTACATTACACTACACTACACTACAACTACACAACTACACAACTACACAACCATACAACTACACTCCACTACACTCCACTACACTCCACTACACTCCACTACACTCCACTACACTAAAGTACACTACACTACACTACATTACACTACACTACATTACACTACACTACACTACTTTCCACTACACTTCACTACATTACACTACACTCCACTACAACTACAACTACAACTACACTCCACTACACTCCACTACATTCCACTACACTCCACTACACTACACTACACTCCACTACACTACATTACACTACACTACCTTCCACTACACTTCGCTACATTACACTACACTACACTCCACTACACTACACTACAACTACACCTACGACTACACAACTACACTCCACTACACTCCACTACACTCCACTACACGAAATTACACTACACTACACTACATTACACTACGCTGCATTCCACTACATTCCAATACACTATACTACATTGCACTACGCTACATTACACGGAATGACGCTGCACCACAGATAGACAGGTAGACAGGTAGACAGCTAGACAGATAGACAGATGAAAGAGAGAGCGAGAGAGAGATAGATAGATGGATAGATAGACAGACAGACAGACAGATAGATAGATAGATAGATAGGTAGTTAGATGAAAGAGAGAGAGAGAGATAGATAGATAGATAGATACATAAAAGATAGATAGGTAGGTAGGTAGATAGTCAGAGAAAGAGAGAGAAAGAGAGGAGACCTCAAGCACCTTTCGGTCCATCGGTGGATTCGCTCTGCCATCCCGGAGTCACAACAACCAATCTCTCCTATAGGTTTCCTATTTTTGAAACTTCCGCCACCGCCTTGTGCGGTACTACTGGTAAATTATAAATTCTTTTCACCGCTGTTTCTACTTGACACAGTTTCAAAAAAATATTTAGTTTTTTTAATTAAAAATATATATAAATATATTTAAAATTCTACTATATTGTATTTTAACAGATTCAATCGTATCTTTTTGTATTTTTAAAATATCCTTTGCTATATTGCGCTATATGAATTTATTTTATCATACTTTATTGGATATTATATGCATATGTGAACTAGATGCGTGTATTCATGATGTGATGGTTTGATTGCCTCATGGAAATGCACAACGCTGACCAAAATTAGTATCAACTTTAACAACGTTTTGAGACATTGAGGCTTCAACCACATGCGGAGTGCGCACTCCGCTCAATCGTGGAGCAGGTGCTGCGCAGGAATTGCTTCAATCTTCGTTTGAGAGTAAAGGACGGCCTGTGTGCTCTTGGCAATCATTTTGAAAGAAAGGTTGAGGTTCGTCTTGGTTGTGTGGAGGGTCTTTGGAGCCGTGGGTTTGGTTCAGTTTAGGTGGAGTTCTTGGCGTGAAAAAAACTTGTACATAATTTGATGTCTTTGCTGCTCCATGTGTTTTTCTGCGAGTGCTTCATGTCGATTATTGTTTGGCCTGTCTCTGTCCATCGGAGCTTGTTAATCCACGCCTGTTCTATTTTTCTGCTCCATCATTGAATCATCTATACATTGTAGTGCCGTATGTTGGTGTAACCTTTTACGCGGCTTCCATTTGGATGTTTGTTCGTCGCAAATGTTGGTGTTTCCCCTCTTTAACCAGAGACTGGCCCTGTTCAGAAACTTGGAAAAATGCGGTCTTGCAAGCCTACATTGAGATTGCCATTGTGTTGGTGCGTTGCATAAACTGGTTGGCTGTCGGGCGCGGAGAGAGATTTTTTCTTCGAAGTCTGAGAACGTTGCATTCACCCTCTTCAAGTGCCAAGCTGGCACTTGTGGCTGGAATCCACGATGTGAGCAAGCATGCTACTTTGCAATGGGAGGAGGTCCTTAGGCATATCGTACAGGCAGGAGCGAGGCAGGTTCCAATGCGTTAGCAAGTTGAAATTGAAACATGAAGACGCAGCCAAAAATCATAGAAGCGACGACCTTGCCAGTGATAGCTGAAGTATTAGCAAGAAAAACATGTTGTCTGGCAAGGGCCAGTGCTACCTTCGAGGATTTTGCCAAGACCGTCGTATGTTCCTTGTGCAATCAAATCGCTCTCCAGACTGCCAGGCCGCATCAAGTTTGTCTTCGAAACCATTGGCTGCATGCGCATGGTCTTTGGTGACTTGCGCATGCATTCCTTGTTGCGGTGCTTTGTGATTGTTGGAACTCTTTGGCTTGTTGTGGTGGTGGTTGTTTGTCCGGCCTTTTAACAGCTGAAAAATATCTGAAAATAGAGCAACTCACTGGAAATCATTGGTTTGCAGTGCAAAGTGAGAGCGAGTCAGGGCATGTTCAAGTGGAAACCTGAGGCGACCATTTTGATTTGCGTTCAAGCCTCAGTTGGACAAAACTTTGCCACTGTCATTTTGCATCCGGGTGGCAAAGTTGAACAATTCAAGCAGGAAACCCAACTTTGGGTTCAAGTTGAGACTGCAGCTGTTGCCGGATCCTCATTGAGCAGAATGTAAGAAGAAGTGTTGGAAGCGTGAGTGCTACACCTTTCCTTCTACCTGAGTCCATCTTGGAGCGTCCCAAAGGCTTCAACACGCAGGAGCCACATTCCTAACCGTTCCAAACCGCATCACAAAGAAGGCATTGTGATTGTTGTGTACACTGTCGGCATTGTCAAAGATGCAAGAATCTGAATTATCAAAGAATAAAGTAAACTGAGTCCAAAAGATTTGAGGTTGGCAAACCTTTTCTGGGCCTTTGCGACTTCACCTTTCGCGAGCTCATCGGCGCCTAGCATGTGGAAGGTGCAAGATTTCGACTGATGTTGCCTCTTTGGTGAGATCATATTCATTTCAACACGAAAGCTAGCGGTAGCTAGCTGGAGTTTCTTCTTGCTTTAGCAAGGGATGGGGCGGACCAAACGCCAAACGTGTGATTTTTCACGCGAACCCCCCCCCACAACTAAAGCCAATACCACAGGCTTAAGCCATATGCCATATGCAACTGCCAAGCCACGTTAGTTTAGGCCACGGCCACGCGAACCCCTTCTCAGGCCAATACCCTTCGGCGTATTATGTGGCTCTAGTCAACCACCTCGCATCTCACGCAATTACACATCCCATCATCAACCAGTTGATATTCGTGTTTTATGTGCCTATCTCGCGACTGCCAAAAAACCCAGTTCATTCGTACATTCTAATGTTCAATATACAGACATCAAAAGACAAGATAAACATTGCATCTATTGCTGTAACCACTGCAGACCTCGAGCTGTTAATCATTGAGACAATAAACACGCGAAACTCCATGACATCAGGTTAGGCTTTCATCTCGTTTCCACATAGTCTTAAGGTAGTTGCTCTCATCCAACACCAACGATTCATAGACAATTTTTTGCCATCCATGTCCTTAGCATTTAGTCATCAAGCCAACTTCTCGTTTTACATCCGCTCAAACACTACACTTTCTTCTTGAGCGGCACCTATTACATCCTCAGCGTCTATAATAATCAATGCATGCTTAAGCTATGCTGTGGCATTGCAGCAAGAGTCTCATAATGACAAACTATATCACTTAGCTCTCCCCCCCGTCGCATCTTGGAAGCGGATGAAACCCCCACCTCCTCCCGCCCTGAACCCAAGCCACTCAACCCACGCCACTACCCAACTCATTCCACTCAAGTCACTTCACGAAGTCATAAGTGCATAACTCCACCTCTCTCACTCCACCTTGCCCATGTTCCTGGTCCTGGTCGCATCTCGCCCGGCACTACTGGCTCCCATCTTCCCCTGCTTAGCTTTCCTTCACCAACCCTTGGGACGCAAGTTTCATTTCACTGAACCACTTTCTTTCTTGAAACCTCAGTTTTGTTTGTGCAGTTTTGCTGCGCAGATGGTGCTATTTCGACAATCCTTGTGGTGTGTGCGTGCCTGTATGGTGTGTGTGTGTGTGAAACATCTGAATAGATGTAAAACTTCTACCTGATGATGTCAACTTTCTTTGCCGACCTTTTACTTTTTCCTTTTTCAGGTCAATTCCCTTGAATTTCGTTACGTACCTGCCGGTCTCAAATTTCCAATTTCAAATTTACAAAGCAGGTGTCAATGGCAACCGGCTAAGCCTAGAACCGGCACGTCGATCATTTGGGTTTTCAGTTTCCAATTTTCACTGCACTGTTGTCGCAATCTGTCAAGGTGGGAAGGATCATGAAGGATTTGGCTTAGTTGAAAGGGAAGTGTCAGCTTCCAACTTTTTGCATCTAGCTTTGGCTATGGTGATGGTAACTTTTCGATGCTTCTCGGGTCATTTCACCGACCCATTCCTGTCAGGTGTAACTGGAGTGTTTTTGCACGTGAGATGCATTCCACACCAGAATTCGCAATGACTGTTCTGAGCAAGTGTGTGATTCATGCTGGATTCGTCATGGTGGCATGAACCCTTCGGGGAATACCTTTCCAGGTAGGAATTTGAATCCTCGACCTGATCTCTGAATTTACACTTTTCAACTTAGTAATTCTTCTAAGTAAAGTGAAGCGGCTGGCCTTACTTCGGGGTTTCACCTGTCGATTGTTGCAGTGTTGAACAACTGCCCGCTGTGCTTGGGACTCAATTTTTTCAGTGCATTCATCTGCTGTCGGTAGACTGAAGCTGCGACAACACCTCCTTTTTTCGCTTTGCTCGAGAGTGTAACTGCACTGCCACAGCAATTGCATCATGAAGGAATTTCCAGGCAGGCACACGACTTTAGGTGTGGTCCCTTTTTCGAGGGTTGACGACGTAAGCTGTCCATGGGGTTGACTTGATGACCGAGGGCCCGAGGGCCTTTGAGCCTTCTCACGACTGTTGCATGGATAGTGGATGCATCATGGTTTGAACTGTTGTTTGTTGTATTTTAATTTTTACACCTGACTGCCCCCTCATCGCCATGTTTCCATTTCGCTGGTCCAACAGTTCTGAACCTATGTGGAGCCCTGGCTGGACTTCCTCACCGATGACACCACGTCAGGCATTCAACTCCCAGGGACAATTTTGCGGTGGGGATCCAAACTATCAACAGTCCCAAGCTCAGACTCAGGCACACCTCAACGCGCTTCAGCCACAGAATGCGCTGCTGAATCAACAACTCCACAACCAAACCATGACTCATATCCACCATCTTCAACAGTTGATTCCACATCAACAGTCGTCTCAACAAACACCTTCCATTCCTACTCCACCACTCCATCAACCACTAACAACACCTACGCCAGTCCAGCCTGAACCACAACCATCCATGGTGACGCCTCCGAGTCAACCATCCAATCCACCAACTTTTGATCCGGAGCAGATCTTGAGTCAGATGAAACAAAAGCTGACAGACGACCTGGTTGCGGCTGTTGAAAAAGCAAACGAACGCAACTCACAATTCCTTCACCCTACTCCACCCACCACTACCACTCCACATAGTGCCACCCAAATTCCACCTTCTAATAGCCATGTCTCACACACGGCTCAATCGTCACATCGGTCACGTTCCCCTCCTCATCCAACGGAACCTCACAGGGGTGGCAAAAGGCCTGTATCGATTCCAAGGAGCCCCAGGAGCCCCCGCTCTCATGTTCCAAGCCGGAGACACCATCCAGAATCCTCACCTCATGGAGGTCGTGACCATTCGGTCACACTTCGGTCGGTCTCTCCCGATTGACGAAGTTCCAGCTATGACTTCAACCAAGCCGATCGTGCTCCTCATCACTCACTAGGACGTTCGTATCGACCTCCTGAACCTTCACGTCCTCCAACCTTGCGCCAATACCGCCAATATGAAGGACCTTCAAAGCACGATGACTACTCCCCCCACCAATCCCATCACAGGGATAAATCCACCTGGCAAGACTGCGATGCATGGGGTGCATGGAGCACTCAGTCACCACCTGCCACTGCTCCAGCGTGGGTCCCAATCCACATGGCGTGATCACACCCATCAGGACTCTCATCAAACCCAGTCTTGGCAGGACTACGACCGAGACCCACCTAGGCTTGCGGCACGCCTGTCAGCAGCACCGCAATCAAAGTCAAGACCGCTCACGGCATACTCGTCATCCAGAAAAACCCTCCAAATCCACCAAACCACGCACCCAGTATGACTCAGAATATCACTCCTGGGCAACCTCGGCCATTCCGAGAGGTCACATTCAGGTGTCGCTCAAAGATGACAACAGTAAGGAGTGGATAAAAAAGGTACCAGGTACGGTTTGGCTTGAACCAGCAGCACCGTATGAAGGCTACCTCCGAACTCACCGATGCGGAGAAGCCACAGCCATGCCTCACGGTCGACCACGACAAATTTCACAAGGCCTACAGCGCCATACATAAAGAGAGCAATCCCGGCCGAGGTTGCTAAACTGGCCGTCAATCTCACATCAGGTTCACGCCTCATCGAAGACATCGACTTGTTTCAGGCGTACCTGATGGACCTGAAGGTAACATGCTGGCGCTGCATGGTGTTTCCGCTTCCGGCTATCTCCAGGTTCTCATTGCCTGAACCCTTCAAAGGGAAACAATTTACCACCACGGCCCTGATCCATGGAACCCCACTGGATGCTGCCCAAAACATCCTGCTGGAAGGATTCATTCGTCCAGCTAACTGATCCTAAAATCGTGATCACGGCAAATGTGATGTGCCCACCTTTGGTGCATACTACCTCGGCCTTGAAATAGGCCGTGAGAACAAAATTCCGGAGTGGGCGGCACGAGATCTAATGGATCGCCCCCAGAAACGAGGCAAAGGACAACAAAAGGTGCTCCTTGGAGCATTACACCGTGGAGCTGACAGTCATGTCAGCTACAAAGGCGGAGGAAATGAAATGGCTCAGATGCAGGTCGCTAACTGCGGCATCGTCACCACGTCAGAGAAGCACATGATTGCCCACAGCTATCACGTGGGGCTGCAGTTCTTTGCCTTGAAGTGGCCAAACCTCCCCATCAATGATGCAGATGATGATGACACATCGGGCGATGTCACCTACAGGGGTAAAAGACGTCGAGCTCCTGAACCAACTGAGGCACCCCCTGACACGGCAGAGAAATCTGCACCTGCAAAACCCTATAAGGGGACTAAGGGACTTGAATCCATCGTTGTCAGACCGGAAACCGGCTGATCCATTTCTAGGGAAACCTGGACAGGTATAACAGCAAAAAGACTGCTCGGCTGTCGCAATCTGGTTCTTGCCCACTGCATGCAACTTTGGTTTTTCATTCCTGTCATGTTGATTTACTTTTTCTTTTGTCTTGTCTTGTGCTCATGTACAACAGGTACTTTACATGACCAGTGTCTGTTTTGATTTGTTCACCTACAACCTTGCAGCTCTTTCAGTGTTGCTCGTCTTGGTGCACCATTGATTGTAACAATCATGGCGGATTCTGATCGCTCTCGATCACCTGTGCCGATGCGCAATCGACTGGATCCACGAGGGCAAGCACCACCTAAATCTCTCCCTTTCTGTCCGCGATGGTGTGGGCCCATGAACACTACGGCCCGGCACTTTCAGAATATGCCACGACCTCAGAACCGACCACCTTGGTCAGCAACTCAGTCAGGGCCTTATAAGGTATATGATGGGACGTATGTGGACACCATCAATTACTCCAACCAGCTGGGCATCCCAACAATTTCCACCTGCTCCACCTTCCAAATTCTTTACCACCCACACTGCCATATCCACCGCAACAACAAAACCAACTCTCTCAACCTTGTCCTCCTGCGCAACCTTGCCCACCGACACAACCCTGCTCACCTGCAACACCATCCATTTCTCCATCTCAGCCACGTTGACCTACGAACACCAGAAGAAATGGCCTTGTTCACCAACGCATGTCTCCTGACTCCTAGCCCAATCCACATAACATCAGTGGGAGACCTTCTGATCCACATCAGCTCTTACATCTACAACGCCTGGGGAGTCAATATCGACGCTGATGCCATGGATCTCCGATGGAGTGATTGCACAGGAGACACCTTCGCTCTTGGATCCCACCAAATCATCACTCGCCTTACTACGTTAACATAGGCCTCACTCGGCACAGTCCCAGGAGACGGTTTTTTTCGGCAATTTGGTTCACTTCACCAGTTCAAGTCAACCATATATCATGAGGATTAGCTGTCACAAAGCTCTGCCTAATCCAAATTACCTTCCGTGAAGCTGACTGATCGAAAACAACTGTGTTTCTGGCTTACTTAGGTTGCTTTTGTTTCTTTTTGTTTTTTCACTTTGTTCTTTTGACTTGGCCTTTCCCTATTTCTTCTTTTGGTTTCAGCTTTCATCATGCCCAAACGGGATTCATCCTCTGCTGCCTTAGCTTCCCCACGTGACCTTCGGTTGGGCTCTTGGTCACACCAAATGAGTACCTCTCGCCAGCGACCATCTTCAGCGGCTGCTACCTCTTCACCCAGGCATGGTCTACGACTTCCTGGCCACTACTCTGCTCCTAGGCTGCCATCCATGACACATCCGCTCCTCCGGATGAATCTGACAATCAAGAGGATATGGCGGACGATACGTCCACCATGGGACACACGCAAAAAATGTCTGTTCCCCGTCAGATTCACCAGCTGGCTCACATTCTCCACGATGCATTGGCGCAGGATCCTGAGTTCAATGCTCCGGTCCTCGAGAAGCTCCACCGGAGAATCCGTCGGAGAGCAATCTAAAATTGTTCACTGCGGAGGAGCTCAGCCATTTGGGAAGTCACCTTGCCATCACTTCCAGTATTTTAGCTCGACGTGCCCGACCTGCTGCGTTTGGCGATATCTCGGACATTTCTGACGAGCTTGATGGCGAAATCCCGTGAGTGCCTAGACTTTTCATGATTTAAAACTTCAATTCAATTCCTTGTCTCTGGCATTTTGATCGAATGATCTGAACCCAGTTGACCATATCAGAGCTTGCATTCGAGTTACATGATGCATCTTCGGAAAAAAGCCCCGCGGCAGCGGGGCGTGTGTGTGAAACATCTGAATAGATGTAAGACTCCCACCTGATGATGTCAACTTTCTTTGCCGACTTTTTACTTTTTCCTTTTTCAGGTCAATTCCCTTGATTTTCGTTACGTACCTGCCGGTCTCAAATTTCCAATTTCAAATTTACAAAGCAGGGGAACTGTGCACTCTGTGACTGATCCAATTCAACGAAGCTAGGTCACAGAGTGGGATATCTGGATTGGCCATCCAGACGTATATGCACTTTTCCGTTTGTTGTCAATGGCAACCGGCTAAGCCTAGAACCGGCACGTCGATCATTTGGGTTTTCAGTTTCCAATTTTCACTGCACTGTTGTCGCACTCTGTCAAGGTGGGAAGGATTATGAAGGATGTGGCTTAGTTGAAAGGGAAGTGTCAGCTTCCAACTTTTTGCATCTAGCTTTGGCTATGGTGATGGTAACTTTTCGATGCTTCTCGGGTCATTTCACCGACCCATTCCTGTCAGGTGTAACTGGAGTGTTTTTGCACGTGAGATGCATTCCACATCAGAATTCGCAATGACTGTTCTGAGCAAGTGTGTGTGTGTGACCCATCTGAAGAGATGTAAAACTTCTAACCTGTGATTTTTCGCCTTTAGGCATTTGATGCTGTCATGCTTTTTAACTCGCAGGGGGTGGATGCATGGTCTGGCAGTCATCCACCAACGAAGACACTGCCTTTGCATGGTGATATGACGAAGGGACGCCTTATTTCATTTACACTTCATTTTCGGAAATGGGTAGTGGCTAACCCAAGAACCACCATTCCGTTTTTTCAATCAAACGTCAAACACTTGGATGTCAACCGGGTGTTAACCTTTTTTGCCTGTACGGTTTTCGCAATCTGATTGTCTTAACAATTTTGCTTTCTCGCCTTATTGGCGATGGCAACAGCACTGGCTATGGCGATGAGAGCTTCCCACTGTTTTTCGGGCCCTTTCAACCACCCCTTCCTGTCAGGTGTAACTGGATAGTTTTTGCACGTAAGATGCACTCCACAACAGGATTCGCAACCACGGTTCTGAGCAAGTGTGTGCCTCATGCCGGTTTCGCCAAGGTGGCATGAACTCTTCAGGGAATACCTGTCTAGGTAGGAATTGTGATCCTCCAACTTGATCTCTGAATTTACAATTTTCACACCCTGTCGACTGTCGACGTTTTGAACAACTGCCCGCTGTGCTGGGGACTCATCAAGTTTGCTTGATCTTCTAGAGTTGATAGACTTGAGCTGCGACAACCTCCCTTTCCAGTGATGCGCGAGAACATTTCAGCTTTTGACTGCACATTCAACATGGAGTTTCAGGCGTCGGGCCATGCTTGCAGGTATGGTGACTCTTCTTTTTATGGTCGATGGTACGCACCAGTTCGAGGGGTGAATGCTTAAGCCGTCAATAAGCTGCGGCGAAATTTTGGCCATTGTGCCTGATCAGGGGATCCTGCATTACATTGTGGATGCATCATGTTGTTTGAACTTTTGACCGTAAGTTTACCTGACACTGTTCGCCTAGCCATGTTTCCATTTCCTTGGCAATCTCGTACCTGGATGGGCGCCACTCCGAATAGCCCTGATTGCTCAGCCTCAGCATCTGGTCCAATGGTTCATCCAAGTGCACCGGTTGAACCCGACCACGAGCCGTCCATTCCAACTGCTACGATCAATCCGGGCCTACGGCCCTGGACTGTCATTGATGACAATGAGCTCGTCGGCTACAAGATGGATACCCGTTCTCGTCCCTTGTCGGGTCTCTTCACCGACCCATTCCTGTCAGGTCTATTTGGATTGCGTTTGCACGTAAGATGCATTCCACAACAAAATTCGCAATGACAGTTCTGAGCAAGTGTGTGTGCGTGCGTGTGTGTATGTGTCTTGTCCAAGCGCCCAGTCTGGCCAGTGGCCACTTTGCCCAGGTTTTTGTTGTTCCATAGTTCGTGCATACTGCACAGACGAAGTCGGTATCACGTAAGTCTACGTTGAGCCCATCAAGCAGCATCTCGACACTGAATGCAATCGCCAACAAGACGGATAGCTACTAGCAGCACTGTATCCAAGGAAACATGTCTGACACGCAGTACTCCGTTCTCTATAGTTTCTTGCAAAAAACAAATTAAAGCAACAAGCAATCCATGTGTTTGCTTTGTGCCCGTGACCCTGGAGAGGCCCTTGCCAATGACGCCTTCCGTCAGAAGGAGGAGTCTGTTGTCGTGGGTGCTTTCCAGAGTTTTGACGAAATCAAACTTTCTTCAGGCGGGTTTGACCACATGCAGTTGATTGAATTGGTTGTTATTGTCAAAGGAAGTTGGGAAGCAATCTTCCGAGTCACGAAAGACTGGAACAGGAATAGCAATACAATACATCACGTAACAGCACATCACATAACAATACATCACGCAACAACACGTCACACAACAATACATCAAATAACATCATGAACTTTTACACTACCCTCCCCGTACCCCCTGACAAAAATTTGAGGATTTGACCATTTCTGGAATCCTTATTAGTAAGCTAATAATTTATACTAATAAGGAAAAATCTCATTTTTGTATGACCTCCTTACTTGTATACTATTAGCTTACTAATAATATACTAATAGTAGCTTAAACATAAGGCGCAATTAAGGCCTAAAATCCATTACGCGTGATTTTGTATCCAATTCCTTATTAGGCACCTTATCCAGCCCGCATCAAAAAAGTCCCGGTTTTGTTATTTGTGTCCTAATAAGGATTTGTATCCCCAAATCATACAAAAACTTAATCGGGTACTACTAATGTGATTTCCATCCTTATTAGGTGACTATTAAGTTTTTGTATCCAAGCCTGGTCTTTCGGGATACAAAAAATTAATAGTTCCTTAATAAGGTAAAATCTCAGCCCTCCTAACCATTATTAGGTGAGTATTAACTTTATGTATCCAAGCCCGGTCTTTGGGGAGACAAAAACTTCATAGTTCCCTAATAAGCTAAAACTTCAGCCCTCCCAACCATTATTAGGTGACTATTAAGTTTTTGTGTCCAAGCCTGGTCTTTGGGGATGCCAAAAAATAATAGTCCCCTAATAAGGTAGAATCTCAGCCCTCCAAACCATTATGAGGTGCCTAATACTGGTTTTCCAAATGGGGTGTCCTTTGACTTTGATCTTGATCGAGATCTCTTTGTCTCCTTGTGGTCCTGGGAAAGCCCCGCGGCAGCGGGGCATGTGTGTGAAACATCTGAATAGATGTAAAACTTCTACCTGATGATGTCAATTGTCTTTGCCTTGTTTGTTTTTAGGTCCACCTCACAAACTGTTGTTTCTTTGCAACTTAACAGTCATTGCAGGGGGTGCCAGGGATGCACACTGGACTGGCACCAACGAAGACGCCAGTGTGTCATCTGTGATATCGATGGGGACGATCATCGACGTACCTGCTATTTTTCATATCATTTCTGCAATGGGACGTGGCTAACCCAAGAACCACCATGCCGTTTCATTTTATGTCATTTGTCCACTGTCGCTTTTTCCAAAGATTTCAATCCAAACTTGAACCGATGAATTTCAAGTCAATGTCAGATGGGAATGATCTGGCCCAGTTGAAAGTACGTGTCACAAGGGAAGGGTCAGCTTCCAACTTTTTGCTTCTAGCATTGGCTATGGCGATGGTTCCTTTTCGATACTTTCTCAGGGCGTGTCATCGACCCATTCCTGTCAAGTATAATTGGAGTGTTTTTGCACGTACGATGCATTCCACATCAGAATTCGCAAAGATTGTTCTGATCAAGTGTGTGTGAGCAAGTTGTGTGTGAACAAGTTGTGTGTGAACAAGTTGTGTGTGAGTAAGTTGTGTGTGGACACGCTGTGTGTGAGCAAGTTGTGTGTGGACAAGCTGTGTGTGTGTGTGTGAGCAAGTTGTGTGTGAACGAGTTGTGTGTGGACAAGCTGTGTGTGTGTGTGAGCAAGTTGTGCGTGAGTAAGTTGTGTGTGAACAAGTTGTGTGTGAGCAAGTTGTGTGTGGACAAACTGTGTGTGAGTAAGTTGTGTGTGAGTAAGTTGTGTGTGAGCAAGTTGTGTGTGGGCAAGTTGTGTGTGAGCGAGTTGTGTGTGAGTAAGTTGTGTGTGAGCAAGTTGTGTGTGAGTAAGTTGTGTGTGAGCAAGTTGTGTGTGAGGAGGCGGGCGGTGGGAGGAAGAGGCGGAGGAGGAGGAGGAGTAGACGGAGGCAGGCAGGAGTGCACAACCAAAAACAAGAACCCCACACAGAGATGTGGGGAAAAAAGTCTTACAGTGTAACCCTAAGGCAACTTCCGCCCCGCCTCGTGCGTGTACTATTGGTATGTTGGTGTGCCGCCAAACTTTCTAGTTGTGACTGCTGCTTCCTTTGCTGCGCTTGCGCGGCTGCGTGGTGGTGGTACATGGTGGTGGCGGTGTTGACCATGAGAAATTGCGGCCCTGGAAAGAAAGATGTGATGATGCGGTGGTGCTGTTCTTGTTAGCCTTCTCTTTGCCTTTGTGTAGTTTTTGCGTTGTTCGTGTCCTTTGTCGCTTCTTGGCTTGTTGTAAGTAATCACTTCGAAACAAATCAAGGAAAATTTTTGACAGCATAGGGGTGAACATGGCTCTGGTTGTGCTTGCGGAATTAAACTTAGTTGCTGGACAAATAGCTGGACGCAGAACATTTTTAGGAGTTTTCCGCCGTTGAGCTGGCTGCTGTCTCTTGGGCCATGGCAGCCAAGCGATTTGTTTGGCAGGGGCCCAAAATTTTTGGGACTCGGAAATTTGTACTTGCTTGTACTTGCTTGTTGAAGTGTGCAACACAACACGTGTTTCGCTTTAGTTGAAACTAATGAAGGCCTATTTGGTCCTCTGTTGTGCCAACGGCTACGTGTTTAACCTTAAACCTTCGTGGGTAGTGGGCTCAGTCGGACTCACCTTGAGTAGTGAATAGCGTAGTCAAGATCAAGGCTGACACTGCTTCAAAAATATGTTGGAAAACCTCTGGAACGCAGACCTGTATAGAACTTTCTGGGCATGCGGGGGTGCCTATGAGGTTTTCTTGATTTTGAGGCTGGCATCACTTGCATGGTCATGGGCAACCTTGAATTTTGAAACCGACAGTTTTCTCTGCTCAGCCACTTGGATGAGTTTAGTGTTGACCCTGAAGCTTTACAGAGGGATCGAGGATTTCGTCCTCCAAAATATCAAAAACAACAAAATGACGAATGAGGTTCCTTGAGTCAACCTTGTAGCCTTGTTGTAGCTTTGAATGCTACAGAATTTAAATTCCTTGCTAAGACAGACCATATCCGCCAGTTTCCTGTTTGCCAAGCAAGGTTGCCCAGCAAGCTCTCCATCTTATGGAAACATACTGGAAGGCATTGCCTCGTCTGCCAGAGACACCTCAAGGCTGTCTCTTGCATTTGTTGTACTGTTTTGCTTTGCTTCATTTTTTCCCTTCTTTTAAACCCTGGGGTTGTTCTCCTCTTTCCACCTTTTGGTTTGAACGTAAAACATCGAGTGGCAGGCGACTGCCTTTTTTTCCCAAGGTCTGCAACCTAACAGAGCACTGATTCAGAAGGACCTTTGAGGGTAGATTTCAGTCTTGATCGAGAATGGCAAGCTGTGTGAGCAGACATCAGAGGAGCTAACCAACCCCTTGCTCCAGTTGACTTGGTCATTTGCGTTTGCCAAGGTGGGTCTGTTCTTTGCAAACTCGGAAACGCGTACTGTCAATATTTGTCTTTGTTCATCCTCATATTTTATATGATTCATATGACAACACTTACTTTCGAGGTGGAAGCATTGGATGATGTGGCTGTGAAGCAGCTGTTCTGTTCAGCCTTGAAGCTATTGCAGCAAGTTGGACGGTATTGGGATGAGGCAAACCCAGAGGCGGGGTGAAGAACGGACGGTATACTGACCACTACGGACCGTGTACTTGTTGCATCTTGGTGGAGTTGCCGAGAGATTCATCGGTTCGGATTGCTCTTGGTAGTTGTGCTTGAGACTCCATGGTGCAAATGCCTCACCTACTGATGGCATTATTTTGAGCCTTCAAGGCGCTACTTCCTCAATGCCGAGTTCCACATATTGGTGACTGGGATGTTCCCAAGACGCTACTCATATCCGAAGGCGGCTCCTTTTCAGCTTTGAGATCATAGCAGACATGATGCAGGGATAGGGATCCAAACCTACCCAAGGGACAGCCAGGACACTGTCTTCGGACCAATCTTGTTGTACCACAATGATGAGACACCGTTGTAAAAACATCCTTGGACGTTGGAAGCCTCTTGTGGCACACTCTGACAAGACTTTTGCAAGACACATTTGATTCTAACACTCTTGTTGGGCAATATAATGTGACACTTTGGCGAGCTACTCTTGATGCTTTTGGCCGGCCAATCTTGGAGGATACTGTTGTGAAATAAGCTTCGGTGGTATCCCCAGCAGCCGCAGTGTTTTATTTTTACAAATCTATCTGAAGCGTGCTGCGAAGGCAAGCGCTGGAAACACCTCAGCTGGGTTTCCGTGAATTAAATGGCCGCAAATCCTGTTGAACCTGAAATGGCTCTGCACCAAAGCCTCCCAGACCTTCTTTGGAACCTTCTCCGGAACCTTCTCCGGAACCCTGTTGAACCTGACCTGGCTCTGCACCAAAGCCTCCCAGACCTTCTCCTGAACCTTCGGGACTTTCTCTGGAACTTCGTTGAACCTGACCGGGCGCCTGGGCTGAAGACCCCATTAGCTTGCGCCGTTGAGGAAAAACACTTTGGGAAATGTCCCTTGGGAGGCACTCACTCTTGGAAGGCCAGTCTACTTGACAATACGGATTTATTGTTTTATCATTTTCGTTTTATCCATCCAACATTTTTGTTTGGTCTTTATATATTTTGATTCAACCCCAGGATATGTCGAAGCGGCTCTGTTGAGACTGCACAGGAGTTGTTTTTCTTCACAAACCTCCCGGATGGGAGGTTGATGGAGGGGCTGATGCAGGCACCTGTGTCATGACCTGTTACGTCAAGCCATTCGTGACCTTACATTGCCCTTACATAGATTCGACATAGATGTCAAAAGTGTGTGAAAAACGATTTGGAAGGTGTTCCGCAGCGGCCAGATGGCCCCCTCAAGCTGTCGACATACCTGCGACAGTGTTTTCCAGGAAGGCTGGGATTCCTGGAGATCCAGCTGAAGATGTGTCTTCAATGAGCTTGAGCGATTCCATACTTAACTGCGAGTGACCTCATTCGTCAACCTCTGGAGCCAGCGTCATACATACTTCGGTTCGCACAAGCCTCCTTGCAAGCAAACTGAGCAGGTGCAACAAGGTGTGGACGTTGTGTTTGTGGTAATGTTTGTTTCCACCCCCGACGAGTTGCCAAATTCAAAGCAATCACTGCATCGACAAATCTACGGTGTTCCTCCATATTATGTGTATGTATTGCTGCAGCTTATAAGCTATGGCAGCCCCCAAAACTAACTAAGAAAAATGTACATGAACGCGGAGAAGAGAGGAGAATGCAATTGGACACCTCTCCACAGTTATTATTGGTGTTTGCCGGGTGCTGAATTAAGGCAAATTCCAAAAATCCAGGGGAAAAATCGATATAGTGCATATTCTATATATGTTTTCGGCTTCGTGTTTTTATACTCCACGTATTTTTTTTTTGGGACGATGGAAGATCAGGTTATACTTATATGGCGGTTTGGGTTGTTGGTTTGTAACTCTGGGAAATCAGAGTTACGTGCAAAATAGATTAAAAAAAGGAATTTGTTTTGTTTTTGTGTTTTGTATTTGTTTGTTTTTTTTGTCTATTTAACTAAATCTAATCTAATCTAATCTAATCTTATCTTATCTATCTTTCTATGATTTTCCATGTATCTATCTGTCTATCTGTTTGTTTGTCTGTCTGTCTATCCATTTACTGTACTTATCTAATATATATCCTACCTATCTATTTGTTTGTCTGTCTATCTATCTATCTCTCAACCCATCACTCAATCTACTATATCTTTAAAATCTATCTATTTATTTGTTTGCCAATCTGTCTATCAAACTAATCTAATCTTCTCTTATCTAATCTAATCTAAGCTAATCTAATCCAACCTATCTAATCTTTCAAGTCTATCTATTAATCTATCTAATCTATCTAATCTATCTAACCTACCCAGTCTACCTTTTCTATCTGATCGATCTAATATACCTAATCTATCCAATTGACCTTATCTATCTATTCGATCTAATCGGCATGAAAGCAAAGCAGGGAAAAACGATTTTTCGTGAAACAAATTCCAGTGAGGTCCTATCCCGTACTCTGATTGATGTAGGTTTCATGGAGTTTCCATGCAGTTTGGACGCAGGTTCACGTTGGTTACACGCCGGGTTTGCTGATTTGGCTTACTGGTGTGTAACCTCCATGACAACTCCCTGCAACGTGTGGAACCTTCATGGAACCTGCATCAGTCAGAGTACATGATGAAACCAACAAATGTAGATAGAGGCAACACCTTCAAAACGCACACGGAACCTGCATGAAATCTACATCAATTCTCCATGGAACCTGCATGGAACCTCCATGAAAACTGCATCAGTTAGAGGGCGCCGTGCAACCATCACGTTTAGACACAAGAAACAACAGAACCTACATGAAACCTCCATGAAACCCACAGCAATTCTCCATGGAACCTGCATGGAAACTCCATCAAAGAAGACGCCATACAAGCACCAGGTGTAAATACAGGGAACATGTTCGAGACTTTTTTTTTTAAGTGGAAACTACATGGAAACCAGCAGACGCTTTGATGCAAATCGATCGCACATCGATGGTAAACGGATCGTGAAAAAAACGCACAAAAACTGTCATAGCATCTGTGCATTTTGATGATGTTTTCATTAGGTCATCTGTCTTTGTTGATGTCCCTTTTTGTTTCTGCACTGGAAAAGTCAAATTCTTCCAGAGTTTCTATTTATCCTGAGTGTTCGTTGCTTGGTGGTTTCGATTTTGGCGAGGTTTCAAATGTGAATTTTTGTTTGATGTCATTTTGATGGAGTTTTATTTCTGTCTTGGTGTCAATTTGATGAAGGTTCGTAACATATGATATTGCACACTAAGTTAATAAAGAACGAAACCACCAAGAGAAATGAACTCACTTATGTGCATTTTGGATTCTATGATCACCAAACCATGTGAATATATGAATTGGCAAGCGCCGTTTTCTACAGGCCTTATGTTCTTGTCGATGTCATATTGATGTTGTTTTATGGCCTTCTTATTCGTTTCTAGGCCGATGTCAAATCGATCGACAAACGATCGCAACATGATCTTAAAACAACGTCGAAATCCTACATCAAAATGACACACTACAAAATCCACACTTGAAACCCTGGCCATGCCAGAATCAAAACCGCTAAGCCGCTAAGCAACGAACACTGAGAATAAATAGAAATTCTGGAAGAATTTGACTTTTCCAGTACAGAAACCAAATGAAACATCAGCAAAGACAGATGACCTAGTGAAAACGACATCAAAATGCACAGATGCTATAACCGCTTTTGTGCGCTCAATTTACTTACGATTGATTTGTGATCGATTTGCATCAAAGCGTCTGATGGTTTCCATGTAGTTTCCACAAAAAAAAAGTCTCGAACATGTTCCCTGTATCTACACCTGGTGCTTGTATGGCGTCTTCTTTGATGGAGTTTCCATGCAGGTTCCATGGAGACTTGATGTAGGTTTCATGGAGTTGTCATGTAGGTTCCGTTGTTTCTTGTGTCTAAATGTGATGGTTGCATGGCGCCTTGCAACTGATGCAGTTTTCATGGAGGTTCCATGCAGGTTCCATGGAGAATTGATGTAGATTTCACGCAGTTTCCATGTGCGTTTTGAAGGTGTTGCCTCTATCTACATATCATTTGTTGGTTTTATCATGTACTCTGACTGATGCAGGTTCCATGGAGGTTCCATGGAGGTTCCATGCAGGTTGCAGGGAGTTGTCGTGGAGGTTACACACCTTTGAAGCCAACCCATTGGGAACCTTGAAACAGGCGCTCCGTTCCCAAACCATATCAAAACCCAATCAAAACCAAATCCAAAACCATATCTAAACCATAAGCCAAACCAGATCAAAAACATAACAAAGCCATATCGAAATCATAACCCCAAATTCAAAAGCGTATCTAATTCATATCTTCAAATCGCATCAAGATTGGTTCAAAACCAGAAGATAAATCCTGAGTTTGGCTGCCTAGAGGGATTCCGGGGGATATTATGCAAAGTTTGTGCGGGTTTTCGCCGGCAATCATTGTCAGGCCAGTATTGGATGACTTAACTTGTGGACGAGGATTTCTAGGGCGCTTGGACGTGTGGTTGCCTCAGAACAGAAATAAAGTCACTGGATTGCGCCAACTTGCCCAGTCGATCCTGCTGGAAACGGTTTGAATTGAATCTGTGAATGGACACATGCCTAACAACTACTTGGCATATCACACTTCACCCCTGAGCCAACTGAAGGCTCTTTGGTGCCCAAGTCAAAGTTCAGCTGCTGCTTGCCCGGCTTCTGAAACCACAGGTTATGAAAACAAGCTCGCTCAGCTGAAGCCATGTTGTCTGGGACAAGAGCTATGCCAAGACGCTCGGATGGTGGACTACATGATGGACACCGTGAAGGAAAGGATCAGGGTCAAGGACATGGTGGCGATCATGGCCAAGGGCAAGTATCAAATGCGTTCTGGAGCCAAGAAGTCCAGCCTGAACAGCAAGGCCAGCTGGACTGCCAGAAGGGACACCAACCAAGGGAGAACTTGACCTGGAAGATGATGAGTTGAGGGACAACAGGTGAATCTGGGAACCGCTGGAGAACCAAGGAGGATCTCAGGGTGATGCAGTTGGGTCGCAATCAGTGCGTGTGAGGGCTGGATGGCCTGCGGGTGTTGCGACGAGGGGAACTTCAAGGAGTTCGAGCGGTGGATTTCTACGGGGCTCCAGGCTGCAGTACTGCCGGAGACCGATCTTGTGGAAGGTGGAACCAATGCAAGGCGAAGAGAAGCCAGCACCGGAGTACTTGATGGACGTCAAGGCCATGGTGGACAAGTACGGGGTTTTGGATAATCAGCATGATGGATTTCGAGACCACGATGGAAGAGGGCGGGGTCCTGCCCAAGCCCAAGGCCTCGGAACGGGACTACTTGATGGACTTCAAGCCCGTGACAGCACAGTTCGAGGTTCCGAACAAGTTCAAGGACCTGGACAACACCTACCTCCAGCAAAAGTTCAACGTTCAGGTGAAGAAGGATGTGATGAGTTGGAGCGAGCCATATAGAGAAGCTATTGGTTGAGGATCTGATGCGACAAGTGGCAAGGCTGCAGAAGGAAAATGAAACTTTGAAGCAGCAGGGAACGCGTGCACCTGAAGGAGGACGACATGCCAAGAAAGGGCAACCTGAGAGGGTGGCAATGACACCAGAAGCCACACCACCAGCGACAAGGAGACCACACCGGGTGGAACAGTGGCGCCACCGGAAGCTCCACCAATGATGCGAAGAGTGCCGGATCTTCCTTCATGGGGTTGTCAAGGCGCTTGGGGACCCCTCATGGGACCACCAAGGAGCTTGGAGAAGGAAGGATGGGACTTGGAGGTCATGCAGAATTGATCACTGCTGACAACGACGCAGTTTTGTGGCTCCGGATGCTCAAGTAGGTGAAGTTGACCAAGGAGAACAGCAGGGCAACGACGATGGTGGAACAGCCGCAAGATCCTCTGGACTACCGACCAGATGATGAGGAGTTGCACAATGGCTGTGGGGAGTGCAATGGCAGGAGAAGCTACAGGTGGTGGGGGACTGCAGCCTCACAACGGTCAAGCTACGACCTTGCTCACCGCTGGATGGAAGATGCAAGGCCAACCAGAGAAGTCGACAAAAGAATCCAGTTCTCCAACGAACTTGCCACCTGCGCGACGGGACTCAAAGGGCGTCTCAGGATGGTAAGTCAACGCCGTGAAGGGCCTGACCTTCAAGGAGCAGAAGGAGATCATGGAGTGGAAAGAGCACTTTCGTTCCGATCATCTACCTTTCCGCAAGGACTGTGAGGTACGTCTTCAAGCAGCAGGAGCAGATCGGTACAGGAGGAGACTTCAGTGATCCAGAAGCATTGCCGGAAGATGCAGTATTGGACCCACTTGCCGATTGGCACCGTGTACGTCGATCACGACCTGTTCCGGCAGTGAGTCGCAGGGAAATGCCAGAGTCGAGCGTGAGGTCAGGGAGCTGCAGCAGAGGATAGCAGTGCTGACGGCTTCCAAAGCGCCTTCTCATTTTTGGCCCCTATAGCACTTCGACATTTTGGAGAACAAGACTACGCCGGCAGACCCTGGGCATTGCTACGCCAGAACTCTTGCCGTTTGGGATGAACGTGACGATCGAGCAGAAGCTTTGGCATGCAAAAGGTCAGGTTGTGTGGCCCAGCAGCAGGCATGGCAACTACGTCGCTGGGATACTAGGTCCAGAGCGATGAGACGGGCAATAAGTTCTTCAGGTCGACAGTGGGCAAAAGAATTGACACCACCAAGGGTCAATGTACCCCCACTTGGAGACCAATGCTGTGTTGGAGGAGGTTGATGAGGGAAGACCTGCCTTGGGGATTCAAGACCCAGCACCACCATATCCTGCGAAAAGGTGGAGACCGCATGGTAAGTTTAAGTTCCCGGAACTACGACCTCACCATCGCAAACTCTTCAAGATCGATGCATCAGGTGGAGATCAAGTTCAACTGCGAGGTGATGAAGAACACCAACAAGCACAATGTGAGGAAACAGTTGAGCGTATGATTGACAGCCAGCGCAAGGAGCTCACCAGGTGGGCGCGAGGTGTCATCATCCGCATCGAGGATGAGACGGTGTGCCCACAAGAAGTGGAAGTGGCATTGAACTTGAAAGAAGAGTTGACACCATTGGGGAGAACTTGGTTCAGATGGCCAGAATGAGGAAGTTGGAGGTGGAAGCCAAACAGCAAGTTCTACACGATGGATGAAATTCGTTGGAGCTTGGAGGAGTGGAAACCAGTCTTCGAGGAGGAAGTCAACACCCTCAAGGTGAAAGCCGTGGAGGCGATCAACAAGGACCAGTCCCAACAACTTCTTCGAGGTGACAAGGAGGCGGAATGCTTACCGATGAAGGCTATAGCTACGTTGAACCTCCTGCAAGGAATAAAGGAAGAGTCGTGGTCTGCGGAGATTATGCTGTAGTGAGGGAGAATGGCGAGTTGGCCAATGCTCCGTGGATGCGATTCATTGGCGATTCGCATTATGGTGGCGAAGTCAGTGGAGCAGAAATGGACCACGTCTTCAAGCCCCTCTACGCATTCAGATGACAAGGGTGACAGTTGGCGAGCCCCCTTCGCTACTCAAAGCCACTGGTGAAGCCTGATGAAACATGGGTCATCAGACACGCCGTCTTTGGAGTGATCGAGTCATCTGGAGACTGGGGTCACCACGGAGATGAGCAACTACCGCAACTTCGATGGCGACATGCTGGACAAGAGTTCGCCCTCAAGGAGACCAAGGAAAGGCATGTATGGGCAGTACGCCAAGTGGGTGCGCCAGAGACGGAGGAGAGCTATGGCTTCGTACTGGTGTACGTGGACGACATGCTGCTCTTGGGGGACCGAACAAGTCAAAGCTGTGTTTCTTTGGCATGGAGCTGAGACGGTACAAGCAAGGCGTGTTCCTGAGTCGAACGGGCTACTTGGTGGAGACGCTGAAGTGCCATGGTGTTCAAGGAGCGGAAGCATTCACTATATAGGCGAGGATGAGGAGCCAAGTTTGAGACGTTGGTGGGAGAGCTACTATGGGCCAGTACAGGACACGTCCTGATGTGGCAGTTAGCTCCCGGACGGCCACGCCACGTGCACTCCCTGGGAAATGAAAGCACATGCTCAAGTACATGAATGGGACGGCAGACTATGGCCTCAACAACCAACCAAGGGGACGGACTATGGGGGATGGTCAGCTACCGACACCGGGCGTTGCTGTGGGACAGCGACCGGCAAGCTTTTGTCACGCAGAGTACTGCAGAGGGCGCGCACCATCGAGACAATTTGCAACCAGTCCACAAGCTCCTCTACGGTGACAACCGCGCAGCCCTCGCAGCCACAGGGTCAGAACACACCACTTGCACATCAGAGCGAATGCGTTGAGAGAAGCAGTCAGGAGGCCGGAGCTGAGATGGCAGGCGCGCCATACGCCTGGCGCCAAGCTTCTGGCTGATGGCCTCACAAAATCCCCAGTGGGCGCAGCGTTCAATGCTTTGTCACAAGCGACAAAACCAAAGATACCGACTGCATGGTCAAGAATGTCAAGGTGCTGGACGAGTTCGACCCTTTCAAGAATGACAAGGTTTTTTACGAGCTCCACCCTCCAAAGAATGCCAAGACCTCTGCGGAGAATGCAGCGCTAAAGAACCCCAACATTCAGGACAAGTTTGAGGTGACGCAGAACGACATTAAGATCCACTCTGCCGATGACAAGGTTCTTGACTTTGACAAGACTACCCATTGGCCGAGACCTATCCCGATGGAGAAGCACCTCCCCATGGACAAGCTGAAAGCCAGCCTGGGGGGAGTCAGTGGAGTAATGAAGACTGGCGAATCCTTAAAGCGCAGGGACTATGTGGCGTGCTTCTTCTACTGAGGGGTCAGGTGAAATCAGAGCTATCGCTGCTAATTGCAGTTGCCCTTGTGCCAAAGAAAAGATCCAGAGTGGGATCGCAAGAACAATCAAGAGTTATGGAAGGCCAACAAGAAAAAGGTAGGATGGATGGAATGGAACAAAAGCCACTGGCCAGCAAGATCTCAAACGATTGCAACAAGACCAAGCAAGGAAGATGGAGCAACCCCCAAAAAGGCTGAAGAGGCACAGCCACCCAAAAGGGAACAAGACCAAAGGTCACCCAACAAAACTTTCCGGGTTGGGGGAGTAGCAGATGCCCCTAAATATTTTCCCATGGATCGAGTGCGTCCAAGTGCAAGCAATGGGGTGGAGTCGTCAAGGCCGCAGGAGCCGATTTGGGCAAATCAACGGAGCAATCAGTGCATGAGACTGGACAGGTGCAATCAATGCCTGAGGACAATGCGCCGATGGTGAATCAAGATGGGTCATGGATGGGCTGCACGCTGTTTCTTCAACGAATAGTTGAAAGACTTCATTGACCTGAAAGTCAGAGTCAAAACAGTGCACCCAGCCTGATGTGACTCAGTTGGATGATGATGATGATGATGATGATGAAGTTATAGTTATGGAAGTTTTGAGATGGTGGATGATGCAGAAGGTTCTGAGGTTCAACAACAGCCGCATGACCGGTATGGACCACAGCGGCCACATTGTAATATCTGCAGCTCTGGCCCAAGACTGGGATCGTCGTTGGCTTTGGCTTCGACACGATTGGCCATGGACGTGGAAGAGCAGAGCGAGAACAGAAGGGTCCTCAATGGGATCCGCAACATGAAGCAGCTGATGGTGAGGACCGAGGTGAACCACCAGAAGCCGCCGACGAAAGTTTGAGCATTATATGGAGAGAATCCTACGGGGCCCCGAGTCAGAGATGGCGGGGGTGACATGATGTGTTGTGGTGAAGTTCCTGCTGGAGTTCCTTGGTATGCCCGCAACACGACGAGGCAGAAGAAGGCAGCCGGTCCAATGGGGGAGTATGTTGCAACGGTGTCGAGCACTACAATTTAACGGTGCCGAGCACTACGACGATGCCGGGCCCTACTGGCCTGACACGCACTACAACAATGCCGAGCCCTACTGGGCCGGAAGCCGCTAAAACTGTGCCGAGCTCTATGGTGCCAGCTTCGACGGGCTACGAGTTCTTGTGCGGATCCAGGATAGTGAAGGACAGGTGTGCAGGCAGTTGTTGCAAAGGCAGCCCCTCTGACCTCCCTGGATCCGAACCGCGGCTACACGGACCAACATGGAATTGCAGGCCCATGGATGCCCATCGGGCCACCTCCACCTCCCTTGGCAACTTCGAGAAAACATGGAGCTTCAGCAAGACCGAGCTCTACAGCGGCAGCATCGGGGGCGTCTTCATCCACTGTGAAGTCACTTCAAGACCTATGGTGGAGGATCGCTCTGAGGTGGTGGAGATCTCGGACAAAGGTTCGGTTTTGGACCGTGCAGGAGCACCGTCACAGCCCCTTGGAGCGAGCAGCGGTGCTACGCCGGGAGCTATGCCAACAACACCACAGGCGACAATACCTTGCCTATTGGCTGTGGTCCCCAGTTCTACTACAAGGAATGGCAGCTCGAGGCATGATGTCTGCAGCCAACAACAACAGGCCGCCGGTCAAGCTCAGATGGATGCAGCCATGCGGCAGCAACAGTGGGCCACCCAATTGCAGAACCAGCACGCGCCAGGCAGGTTTCCAATCCTGCTGCGCCGGCCGCGGGGCGGCCAGGAGTTGGCTACTCCACCAAGCTGACGATGAGGCCACCACCACCGAAGCCAACAGTGGCGACGGAGGAAGCACTACGCGAAATACCAACTCCATTCCCCATCAGCAAGGGCCCCGGGAGCTACGGCAGGGACTTCTCCAGCAGCAGGATCGACGCCAGGCCGAGCTCTACAAGTGCCAAGAGGGATCCATACTCCAAGCTGGGCCTTTGGTGAAAAGGAGCTCTATGGTCCAGCAGTGCACTATGCCACAACCCAGCGCTTCGAAAAACGGCGCGGACAGCAGTCATGCGTCCATTGGTGGTGAACCCAGACAGTATAGGATGTCACCGGAAGAAGGGGAGCCTTGAAGGGCCACCCAAAGGTTCCTCGCTGAGAGTTGGAAGCGATGGATCGACAAGCTTATGGACTGCTGGCCACCGAGCCTGGAACAGTGACGGCCGAGATTTGCGAGCCTCGGACAAGAGCGAGGAGGGGTCTGGCCCGCACAGCTCGGACGAGACAGGTGGCGATGGAGGAGGCTTGGGGGTCATGGCCTAAAACTGCAGCTGGCAGTCCATCATCTGCCCAAGATGCAGTAATCAAGTTTTTGGATCCACATTTCACCCCTAAGCCCAACCGAAGGCTCTTTTGTGCCCAAGGAAATATTCAGCTGCTGAAATTGGTGGCTAGCTTTGACTGGGACTTGATGCGGTCTTTCAGAGACTTGTTTAGCATGCGCATTCAGGCCTTCTGGCGGTATTGTAGCCGCTGCTTTATCATACAAGGCGTGTCATATTTGTTGCTTGATCCATGGCTATAGGTGACAAGGCTATTGAATCGCACTGCCTTGGAGACCAAGAAGATCCTGGTAGGATTTAGATTTTTGTCTGGCACAAGCACATGCACGCAGTAGCCTCCCCCGACCTGAGCCATAATTTACATTTGTTCGTATTTTGTTCTTTTCGTGCACCCCTTTTCTGCGCAAGTTCTTTACCCATTAATAATTTTCCTAGTCAACTAACCCAATGGGTTTTCTGCATTTCTCTTTTTTGACACAAGTGCATTTTGCCCCACATTTCTGCGTGGGGTTCTGAATTATGTGCTGCATCCCTTCCCGTCCACCTCCTCCTCGTCCTCCTCCTTCCGCCGCCCCGCCTGTGTCAAACTTTCCGCCATGAAACTTATTTCCAACAAACTTGTCTCTATCAAACATACCTCTATCAAACTTAACTAAATTTAGCCTGCCTTTCTCTGTCTTACCTCTACCCGCATTCTCTTCGTCCAACTTATCTCTACCAAACTTACGTCCGTCAAATCAGTCTATCAAACCTTCCTGTGCCACACGTTTCTTTATCAAACTTATCCCTTTATATCCCCTTGAAACTTACCTCTATCACTTTTTCTTTGCGACAATTACCTTATCAAGTTTACTTCTACCAAACTTCGCTCAACCAAGCTTATTTCTCAAACCTACCTCCCTCAAATTATCTTTGCCGCTCCGCCTGACTTTTTTCTATTAAAATTCACCCGTTTCAAACTTACGTCCATCCAACTTATCTCTATCAAACTTTAGCTGTCAAACTCATCTCCACCCAGATCTTATCTACCAACTTACCTCCGTCCAAACTCTCTCCGTCCAACTTTTCTCTATCAAAGTTAGTTCTATTTAGTTTCTCTGGATCCAACTTGCGTGTCGTCTCTTTCGTGTTAATCTTACCCTGTATTTTCCTTCTATGCTTTTTCCTTTTCAGTCTGTCGCAGCCCAGCAAATCTTTTGCCCGGTCCTGGGAACACATCTTCAAAGAAGAGTTTAGGCAATCGAGGTTAAATAATTCACTTTTCTGGCCTTCAGCCTCTCACTTCTCCTGTTCAACTTTTGTCTATCTATCAACTGAATTGTCTTGACTTTATCCCTTTCAAACTAAACTCAGTTGACATCTATCAAACTTATCTCGATCCAGATGGGAATTTTTTGTTTGGCATGTGAAGGATTTAGTGCGTTTCTGTTGGGTCTGGCCCACATTCACTTCGACTCATTCTCTCCAATTTTATTCCACCATCCCTTCCCCATGTTCATCTCCGTATCCTGGATTGCCTCACTTGCTACCCTTGCCCTTTTCCTTCCACCTTACCCCTGAGCTTTCGTTACTTGTCAATAAGCGAATTCTGCTTTCACACAAATTTCCACAAAAGCAACTGAGTAGGACGTCAAACTGTTCCTGCCACTGCGGACAGGCCTACTTCACCCTCAGAATGCAGCAGGAGACCCTTGATGTAGAGCGGGAGTATGTCGTCCTTTGCCACGGAATCTCTGGCTGTGACTTGGGACCTGCGGCATGAAGCATCTTGCAAACTCTTGCACCTTTGGACACAATATGTGGGGTAGAGCATTGCAGGGCAGATCAAGAATGAATTGAAGGCCGGGTGCCTGAGGATCAGCTGTTCTTCGCAATTTGCAGCTATAATTTGTACAGTAAGTCAGTAAGTAATGTATACAATATAATGTAATAGTTAAGTGGAAGTCAGTGATAGTGTAATATGTCTCTCGCCAAATGTGTTGATTCTGCCCTTGAATGCCATGGTTTCCATTCGCCATGGCAGAGGTCACTGCACCAATCCGAGCCGTACCTGGTTTTGGCAGCTGGGTGTCTGCAGATGGTTGGACTGACAAACTTTGGGGTTTTAGCACAATAGAAACTAAGGAAGGCAATTTGAAGTCGATTTGAAGTAAATGTAGATTTGTTGCAACCCTGGCACTGCTTTTCAGTTCCGACACTGCTTTTCAGTTCCTGAACTTCTGCGGCACGTTGAGCTTGACATGACAGGTCTGCCAGCAGAAAGCCATTTGCTTCCCTGTGCATGGCTTCGAGGCAATGAATCCGGTGGTGAACAAACTGTGTACGGGTGATGCAGAGATGAAATACAGATGTATTGAAGCTATTTGAAGCTCAGGACCGCATGGTGCTTTTACGCTGCTGCTAGTCATGTCCTTGGATTCTAGGTCCTCTAGGTCCGACTCTAGGTGTTAGGAAAAAGGCCCAGGCTCAGGCTCGCAATTTCATATTTGCAAGATTCACACAGCACTGGAGATGTGCTGACGCCTGCGCATGGTTGAACATGCAAGGTATCAATTGTCACTGGCCGCAAGCATCAAATCCGAGTTCATCTTGCGCAGCACGGGCATCCAGTTGTGAATGACGGCAGGCAGCAGCGAACTTGGGTTTGCAAAATTGGCTGCGCCTCAAGTGTTTTAACAACAATTTGAATCGCATCAAAAGTGGAATGGTGGAACATGATTGAAAGTCAAGCCAATGGTTCAAGTTGTTTTTGCTTGTCGAACTCAAGAGGATTTGCTTGATGTGAAGAAAACCTGCGGTTCGCACTTTCGGTTCCCTTGCTGCGGATATGAAGACTTACATATGCCTGTATACGGCCCACCATGCGCTCTCATCACCACAGGGAGGCTGTTTGTCCAGAAGGCACCGTTTGTCCATATCCCGAGACAGCAGTTGCTGGTTGCATATGCTCCGACGTGTTTCGCAGATTTGTTTTGCAGCGCTTCCTGTGTGATCGTATGGTTGCGAGCCGTGCAGAAACAGAATCTCCACCGTTCATGCTCTCATTCATTGACAGTCAGAGGCTTTGTCGATCATTCCAAAATCCTACTCCTTCATCATCCTGTCAAGTCATGGAAGCAGTCTCAAAAAGGCTGACAAAATCCCTCCATCAATCATTTGAAGACTGGATTGACTTCTCCACTGATGGGGCAGCCTCCTTCGCTACAGATAGGCAGATAGGCTCTCAGATAGGCTATTTTGTTCGCTTTGGTCTCCTGTCGGTTGAAACTTGGACTTTTCTGGATCCAGCAAATTGTGACAGACTGTAGTGCGCTGTTACGTGACTACACAGCACAAAAACATACTATATACAAACATGGGCACACACACACATACATTGTCTGCCCTACACACACACACACTGCCCTGCTCATGTGAGAAAACACATGTAAACACACTGAGCTGCACTGCGCTGGCACCTTTCTCGAGTACTGCATTTCAACGTCTTGATGATGTTGAACAAAGTTCTGAGGACGAAGCAAAAACGCGTGGCAATATTCAAATGCACCCTGTCTTATTCGAGCTGTACCCCGTCCCACACCGGCTGTGGGCTTGAACTTCCCCGGTCTCGCAGGCAGACGGATTTTACATATGCATTTTCAACAGAATTGTGTTTGATCCTTCTTTCAGCTGGATCTCAGCAAGAATGAAAGACCTATACACCTTGAAGAATGAAAGTACTTTACCCCCTTGAGCGTGCAAGCACAACTCAGAGAGTTTCAATGCTGAAGGAAAATCTGCATTGTTGAGCTCACTAACTCCATTGGGTTGCCCGATTCACAGCCAAACTTATTCTTGGTGACTCAGAGCAACAGCAAAGAGTGCGGGCAGCGATAATGCACTATAGAGCTCTTTTGGCGGGCACATGTTCACCGCCGCATGGGAATGACTAGAAACCACTTGGCATGCATAGAGTCATCCACCTATTCATCCAATCGTCTCAGCAGAAGCTTCCTTTGTCCTCCTTGGGGTGTATCCCTTTGGCGCTTGTGGCTTGTCGGGGAGTCGGGGAGTATAGCGTTGGACAGAGGATCAGACTCTGGTTTCCCACGATTTTCCCACCTCCAAACTTGAGATGGACCTGGGCCCCTGTCGAGTGCTTTCAATCTCAGGGCGGGTTCTGTCAGGTATTCATCGCAAAACGTGTCAGACAACCAGTGGTGTCCGCGTCAGTTCCTGTTCCGTTTGTGCCTCAGATACTACACACAGGTGCGTTGCTGGTATTCACTGAATGCCTTTCATGCGAGGCTATCGGCTGGCTATGCCTTGGCCTGACAAAGGAATGTTAGAGGCAGCTGCAATATGCTGCAATGATTTTCTTTTTTTCTGGGAAGAACCACGAGCTGCTTGCAAAGCTTGCAAACTGCACTTCCCTATTGAGATATTCCGAGGTTGGCCTTGCAGTAAATGATTAGCACTTCGGGGGTGAGACGCAAACAATGGGGACTAGGCCGTGACTAAAGCGAGGAAAACATTGAAAGAAAGCACATCTTTTGGTAGAAGTGGAAAATCAATGACTCGAGGTTCACAAATTGATGCGGCGAGGAGCCAGAAGCTCACCTTGCCAACTAAGTCTTGGGATGCAAACAGCAAAAAACATGTTGCGAAGGCCACCTCCATTCTGCCTCCTGATCTGCGGAAGGCGGGCGAAACTGCAGGAATTGGCTTGAAAACTTCCTGAACACTTCTTGGTGGATGTACTCTCAGTGTACTCTCATTGTTGGCCTGAGGTTTTGACCAGCTTGGAAGCTGTAGAAGCATCGGGTCTGCCTTCATCCGATGTCCTGCAGCATTGGGTCCGCCTCTCGAAGCTTCACGAAGCACGAATAGCACGAGTGAAGATGCTGTGGCTGTGGCCACTGTGGTCACTGTGGCGGTGGCCAAGGTCTCTGCAGCACAGCCTCTGTCTTTTAGCACCTGGCGTCAAAACTTGCGACAAAACAAACCTGCTCCTGCTCCAGCAGCCTCCAGTGATTTTCTGATCTCCAAACACACACGCCAAATCTTTGCTTGTGGTATTCAAGCTGGCAGGCTTTGTCGCAAAATACTCTTCTTCGGGTGTCAACAAAAAAAATATAATATAATATAATGTAATGCCCTAATTAAGCATGCACTGCACACAGAGTCAGAGAGTGAGAGAGAGAGAGAGAACGATTTTCTCGCACATGCTGGCCTTGCTTCGGAATTCGCAAGGGTCAAAGCCTGCAAAGTAGAGCCACTGCATCCTCTGCGAGTTATAAAGATCAAGCTGTCCGAAGATGTCTGAAGGCCTCCTCGGGCTTTAGGTCGTCCGCTGTCCATGCATGTCAAAGAGCCTTCAAAGGCCGTCTGGCTTCGAAGGTTGCCGTTTTGGTGAAGCTTCGCTTCCTGGGCGAAAGCCTGCGGCAAAGACCAGATGCTTTGAGGAAGTAGTCCCTGTTCCACCCAAGACAGGGAAGCCCCATGCTCCGCGGGGTCGGCACGATCGATTGCGGGGTGGCCACCTCAAAGGCATGACTGCAAGGGACAACTTGCGTGAGTTGATTCAGGGGAGCGATCCCAAACTAGGACGATGGAGCAAAAACAAGGCAGTTTACACAGAGCTTCTACAAGTGATGCAGACTTGCTCTATTCCTAAATTGATCTCAACTCTGAGCCAAGCACAGGCAGCTGGGGCATACAACTGGCCGGAGTTTGCAAAAGCGTCTGGGAGATTAAAAGAGTTGGAAGAAATTCGTCACAACATGGAGGAAGCTTGTGGGTCGGTCTGTATAGATGATATGGAAAGACTCATATGCCGGGCTTCAGCTGTGGGAATTTGCCGGAAATCGCTGAGAGCAGAAAGAGAGCAAAGTGAGCAAAGCATTGAGCCGGAGTTCCAGCATCTCGTCTCTGCCCTGGAGAAGCGAATGCACAAGCTTCGAATCCTGCGAGAAGATCTTAGAATATGCGCTCAATCTTTAGATATGGAGTTGATCTCCAATACTTTGAAAGTTGCCGAAGAGTTTGGAGCTGGGTGGGAAGATGTTCGTGATGCGCGGGCAGGGACCTAAGTTGACCTCAGTGGTGCTTTGTCGAACTTTTCCGACAAATCTGGGAGACTGCCAAGGTCCGCCTGCGGATGCTACAGAGCTCTCTTGCAGAGATGACTCGAGCTCAGCCGAGACTCCACCGACAATTTCTCTATCGGCTGAACAATTCTATACTCTTGTTACTCTTCTTGTGCAGTGTTCAGGTTTTCTCCTCGCTTCTGACCCTTCAGAGCATTATGGCTAGCTGTGAGTTCCTTTTGTATGGACCTTCTGAAGCCTTCTTTGCCTTGCATCAACAAGCATATGGTTGATAGACAAAATCTTAGACAGCCCTAGTTGCCCCCGAGACACAGCACTCAACCCCCAAGAACTACCAACGAAAAACTGGATTCCCATCCTCATTGCCCCAAAGCAGTACAACGTGTTGTTCGGATTTTCTAGATGTTTGCTTGTGAGTTGTTGAACTCTACAGTATGCATCAGAAAGCCCATATACTGTATATAATATTAATATATCATATATGGGAGTTGTTCCATATTGTTTGTTTGCGCAGCCAAAGACTGCCATGGTTCAGTGTGTACTGCATATGTTGCGCTCAAGTGCTGTTCGGATGATTCGGATGGGGCTTCTTTCAGCCTTGGTGATGTTGGTGGTACGGCTAATGCAGGCTTTGAGTCGCAGGCGGAGTTTGAAAAACTCAATCAGCCCATTGCGTGTGCAAAATGGTACATGCCTTCAGACCCTACATGAGCCGTTGGTATTGAGAGTGCCAGTGGGAACCTGTGTTGAGAGCTGGACAGATGATTATTTGCAAGAGCGGCTGAAAAGTACGAAAATTTCAGTGCATGTCTCTGACACGCCTTTCTTGAACTTTGAGAAGAAAAACTTTTCCTACCAGGTTCTTCAATTCAATGAGTTTCTCGATCGCGTCCAACAAGGTACAGGGCCACGGTTTTTGTATTATCGATCTCAGAACTCTGACAGGAAGAAACCCTCCAACTTGGAAGCGATAAATCAGGATGGTTCTACTGCCATTCTGGGCAAGGACTTCAAGCTGCCTTCTGATTTGCTCGCGCCGTACCAAGTGCATTCAACAGTTCTGAGGATAGCCAGCACAGGCTTGTGCATGTGGCTGCACTACGACGTTTGCGATAACTTTCTGTGTTGCATACGAGGGCGGAAGAGGGTCCTACTTTTTCATCCAGATGACATCGGTTTGCTATACATTTCTGGTTCTTCATCAGCTTTAGGGAGCCGCCTCCTGAAAGCTGATCTGTCAGAGCTGTGGGAGGAGTTTCCATTGGCAAAGGTGGCTTGGAGCAGGCGCCGGGAAGTGGAGCTCAGTGCAGGTGACGTGCTGTTTCTACCAGCATTTTGGCCTCATTGCACAGAGGCGTTACCCCACGTGGATAGAGCAAGTATCAGCGTAAACACCTTTGTTTTGCAGCGAGAGACAATGTCTTTGCATGATCCCAAAGATGTTTGGGCAAATCGGGAGCTCCTTTCTGCGCAAGATGCAATCAAAGCTTTCGAAGAGAAAGTCCTTCCTTCGTTGGCAAAGCTTCCACAAGTGCCTAGGTCCTTCTATTGCAGAAAACTGGCTTCGCAACTGGAAGCCATGAGTCAACCCTCAGACAGTGGACAGGTGACAGAGGCTAAGATTTGATTTGTTTACTTCAGATGCGCTGTCAATGGGTAGCCGGTGAAAAGCCACCTAGTGACCTAGTGTCTCCACTTGCCAAAAGATACATGCTGAGACAAGCTGATTCCCAGTCCTAAACAGCTCCTGAAGAACTTGATGTTTCCTGGCATTTGATTGTACCAATGCGTACCAATATAATTCAAACACACGTGAAACCATCAAACCGTGAAAGCGTACTGATGAGTCAGAAAGGTGTTGCAGAGAAACTTCCAACACCTGTAACATTTGCCCCCTGCAGCATTCACCTTTGTCGCGCTGAACCTTTTGCTGTGCTGTTTTTGTAGAACGCCTTGTCTAGCGATTCCGGCGGTTCTGTACAAGGCTTCAAAGAAGCTTTGGCAATTCGGAAGTTGATCAGAGACTAAGGACTGAGCTTCTCGGCAGTGTGAGCGAAGCTGAAAACTGTCACCTCAAGGAGATGCCTCGAGATGTGTTGTGCTGGCGTGTCGTGTGTCATTCATGATTTCCCGCGTTTTTTTTTTAACGCAGGAAAAAATCCACGAGGCCAGAAGTTTGTGAAGACTTTGATAGAAGATGATAGTTTTGTATCATCCTCAATTTTGCTCCCATAGTCTCAACCTGTGTGGTGAGGCTTTGATGAGTTTCGATCACATTGAAGAGGATGCACCTCCGCCACTTGGTGGGCCGGGCAGATATTGTAACATATTGTAACTTTCCAGTGCGTTTTCCGGTCATGATTGTATTGTACTTGTACATGTACTAGACTATATTATATTGATCTATAATGTGCTCATGTCGTTGAAAGGGTCCTTTAACTTTTCCACACTTTAGCCAGGTTGGGTATTGAACGCCCTCCGCGTTCAGTACAATCGCATTAGGCAAGAATTCGAGAGTCTCCTTCTGATACAGCACAACACATCACATCAATGATCAAACTTAGTCAGGATATGTCAGTATCAGACTTTCTGCAGGCTGGAAGGGGTTGCTGGTCTTCGGGATCGCTTAACGCGGGAGATCCTGGCGGCAGTCCAACACTAAGACAGCCATGACAGCCAGAAATGCAAACTCAAATGACCCAAGGTGACCCAATTGACGAATATCGGTTTTGGGGATTTGTTTGAAAGCATCGACGTTCACAATTCCGCAGGGAAAAGATGCAAACCTAGAGCTTTTGCGGGCTGCAGTGGCAGAGGCAGCTGCGACATTGAGATCATACGTAAGCAACTGACTCGTAAGTTGTACGTGTTGCTTTCCTGTCTTTCAGCATATTTGAGACCCATCCAGGCTGACACTCAATTCTATTCGATGGATTCTTCGAAGCAAAAGCCTCATTCATCTCAAAGATTTTTCAACTCATTTCACAGATTCTGCTCTGTCAGACTTGAAATCGACGCGTTGCATGGCATGAGACAATGAATGCCACGAAGTACTTCAGGTTGCCAGATGCTTTACATGCCACGCGCTGGGATGAATTGGAGCACGGCAGAAGGCAGGTGACAGACAACCAGAAAGAAGCCACCTTGAACTTGAAGTACCTATTTTCGCCGCTGATTCTGGATGCGAACGCAAGATGATTCCTGCCACAGAAACCTGCGAGGTGCTTGGCGCAACTCGTAGAAATTGAGGCCAATGTGACTTAGACTTAGACACTTGTCTTTCTGTTTTTCAGCAGCAGGTCCAAGCTTCTTCTCCAGCTTTATTTAGAATTGTCCAACATTGGGGAATTTTTCAGAGTGTTTTCAGTTCAGCATTTCTTTGGTCTTCACAAGCGTTGGCCTGCAGCTACCCCAAATCTTGGCCTCTCTTTTTGTAACAAGCTTTCTAAATATGGCTGTGAGCGCTCTGTGTGAGGCGGAACTGGAACTTGTGGTGACTCCAAGCACAATACCTCCATCTCCAGCTGCCATCATCGCTGCAATTGCACGTTGCGGGCTCAATCCCACCGTGGATCCGAGAAACAATTCGGGAGTGAAAGAGAGTCATTCAAGTTGCTTGGCGACAAAGACCGCCTGCATCCAAGTTCCTGGTTGATCAAGAGCTTACTTGTGGTCAAAGACTTTTAGATACTTTTGGTGACTTTTGGTGACTTTTGGTAAAATGGTCCTGACCTAGCGCAGAGCATTTTGAGAGTATGGTATAAACAATGTATAAGCCTTGTAAAATGGTGTGACGGACACTTGGTGCAGTTGGTGCAAGAGTGTTTAGTGTAACAGGGTGTTAATGGATCGTGCCATGCAAGACTTCTTAAGGATGCATCAAATTGTGAGCGTTGTTGCTGTTCCTCAAAATGCCCTTCTTGTGGAGCCCTTTATTCAAAAGACTAAAGTCCGATTCAGAAACTTCACTGTATTCAGGAACAACGCTTCAGAAACTGGACGTCGGATTCAGAAACTGGATGCCGGATTCAGAAACTAGACGTTGGACTCAGAAACTTTTGTCCTCATAATCAGGAACTACTTCGTCGTATTCAGACACCATTGCGTCGTATTCACAAACTACTGCGTCGTATTCAGAAACTATGGCGTCGTATTCACAAACTACTGCGTCATATTCAGAAACTATGGCGTTGTATTCACAAACTACTGTGTCGAATTCAGAAACTACTGCGTGGTATTCAGAAACTACTGCGTCGAATTCAGAAACTACTGCGTGGTATTCAGAAACTACTGCGTCGAATTCAGAAACTACTGCGTGGTATTCAGAAACTGTTGTGTTCATTTGTGTTCTAGTCAGCTTTATATAGGCTTGATTCACGTTTTGGTCAAGGGTTTGTTTAGGTTTAGTTTAGGGTTTCCTTAGGTCTTTAGGGATGGTTTGGTCTAGATCTTCTTTGGTGTTGGTTTCGGGTTTAAGCGGATGGAGAGTATATATGAGCAGATTATGAGCCTAGGGCCCAAAAGTTTTCCAGGCGTGAAGGCTTTGAAGTGTGTATCCCAAGAAATCTGTTCTGGATATGATTTTAAGCAGCATCAAGCGGCCCTGAGCCTCCGATTTCAAAAGAGTTTGTATCCAAACAGCCTTTTTTTGGATCTTAGACTTTGGACACACCTACTGTAAGGAGGCCGATGTTGAGCACATGTTGAGGCTGTGTTCACTCTACTTTGGTGTTATTTTATGATATTTTATGCACTTTCGCGAGTATACCTCCACTTTGAGCCAATTCTGAGCATATTATGACCTTATAGTAACTTTTTCCTCCCTTCAAAGCCAAAAAGTTTTTTTTCTCCGTTTGTTTGGCATTCCAAGTTTTCGATGTGAAATCGAGGGACAGAAGCGGTGTCAAATTTTGACGAAACAAGCTAGGCACCTGAGTTTATGGGGGGAAAACACCTTGTGAGCCTAGCGGCGCAAATCGCAAAACAGATGTAAACCAAAAAATATGTCCCGCCAAGTAGCAAAATCCAGGCAGAAGTTGAACCCGATGTAGGCTCCTCAATGTGGAAGTTCAGGCTTGTGGAGCAGTTTGAGCGAAAAACAACGTCTTCTAGAGCAACGAGCATGCAACCCCCTCCAATTTGACACGCATGGGTAGATACAGGCTTCGGCGCCGTTTGCCCGCGGATTTCAGGTTTGTCACTGAAAATTTGAACACAGCATTGCAGTAGACATCAGACTGCAGTGCAGTCTCGACTATAGCAGGGTGGCTTTGGGTGGATGAGTTGCACCTCAGCAATCTTTAACGTGGAGTCATGCGCGTGGATTGTGGACCTAGGTGTCAATAGCATGAAGAGCTCCACTTTTCTTGGAACTTTTGACAAAGCGCGTTTTTCTGGTGAAAGTATTCATCTGTAGCATCTGCAATGCTTCGGAAAGCAAGCTGTTTGTTCTTGTTGTGAACTGACTTTCAATACTCTTTCAATGTTGCCAGTAGTGTGCAGTGCCTTTCTTCGACGAATGAGCATTGCTCTCCCAAAGAAAGGTTGAACGCCGCTCATGAACACATAAGGATTGAAGCCGTTGCACCAGGTACAGACTATATGCTCTGACAGGAATTAAAAGTACAACAAAAATATGAAAAAATACAACCTTAAAATGCAATTGTTAAAAAAAAACAACTTGAAAAATACAACTTTCATTTTCCTTTTTTTGGAAGCACATTCCATTCCAACTGCGTCAGTAACTTGGGTCCTGTGGACACAGCTGACTTAAATAGTTTTTTTTTAAAGAAAATGTTTTTGTTCTGTTCCGCATGTTGCAGTGTTTCTTTGAAAAGACAGCAGCTATTCTTGCGGGCTGGGGAAGCCCACTGGTCAGGAACAGCTTTATCCATTGCCTTGGTTCCTTTTTTTTCAGATATGCTCCAAGTTAGGAACGTCAGAACACACAAAAAGGTTGCATTTAGGTGTTGTATTTTTTTTGTATTTTTTTTTGTAATTTTAATGTTTTACAGAAAGATAGATTCTACCTGACCGCCTCGACTTCAACATAAGGAAATATCAAATTCGGCTCCACAGAGCAAGTGCAAGAACACATTCTCAGTCTCTCAGTTTACTGAATCCCGTTTTCCGTTTGCTGGACGCAAGACACTGGTCCCTTCACTTTGTCGTTGTGAGGTGCAGATGCTGCTGGTTGTTCGACCTGGACTCTGCGTTCTGCAGTGCGGTACTTGTAATTTTTTAAATTGGTTATACTTCATCTAAATCAAAACATCAGAGAAGATTGACTTTGAAATACTCCACCGCGTTGCTTTGTGTTGCACAGGCATCCACACGGTTGCGGCAAGTACAGTCTCTCGAGGCTTCGTAAATCTTCGATCAGTAGCACAGCACCTGAACAAAGCAGAATGAAGCAAAGACACTTTTCACCTGGTCCGACTTGACCTCTGACACTTCTGAAACTATCTGAAACCTGACCTCTTTTATATATGTTTCGCTTCGAGGCCAGTATTCTGAAGGCAGTTGCAGCTGGGTCAGAAGACCTTTTGCGCGAAGCGATGATAAATGCCCAATGTGCAGGTGCGACTCAGTGTAACTCGGCGCGGCGAGTTCAGTGTGAAACGAATTCCATCAGTAGGAGTTCCCGTGTTCTTGTATTAGGCTCTCTCATCAGCCTTTGAAAACAAAAAGTTACAAGATGTTACAAGTGTCAAGGGATAGGGGGTCAGCCGGTCAGCCACAGTACCAGGTGAGTTTTGACTTCAACAATCTTCGACTATATAAGAATACCTAAAAGCTGCGTTTGAGTTTGGATTGAAAGTGCTCTTTGTGCCTCTCCGCCTTGCATCTCTCATCTGCCAAGCATCGCAGGCTTTGTTGCCTGGCCACTTTTGAATGCTGCTACTGAACTCTTCAGAGGTTGGGCTGTTGCTTCTTGCCATGTGAGGAAAACCATTTGACTTGTTCTTTTTATGGCTCCGGATAGGTTTCAAAGAAACTGCAGGGCAAGAAGAACGCGCAGCATCCTCAATCCTCCCAGATGGAATTTGACCGGGTCATTCCATCTCTGAGCTTCCCAGATTTTACAGCCTTTTTTTTGCTGTCAGAAGGCAGTGCACGAAGGGAATCGTTTTACAACAACACCGATCTTCCCTTTCTTTTTGGAACTGGTCACGCCATGACACGCCACTCCGAACATTGCATTCAACAGTTGATGGCTTCATTGGCCCGGAGGCACTACTTTGGCAGAGTTTCATTTCAACAACTGCTCAGAGGTTTGTCCAGTTCAGTTGCAATTTCATGCATTTTCCATGTTTGGATTCATTGGGATGTGTAAATTAAGTCCTTGCTAGAGAGGTTATTGGCGGAGCTTGCAGAGGGTGAACCCTTTGGAGGTGTGATGTGCTTTGTGCCATACAGATTGAACAATGACAGACTGACAGACCACATCGGCCGAGAGGCTGTGCAGGTGAAGTTGCAGATGTGGAGGCGAGATGCTAACTAGGTATGGCGAGCTGGACAGGATAAGGACGTGGTATGCGTGTTATGCATTTTATGCACTGCCAATTCTTCCCATTCTGATGCCATTCTGCTATATATTCTTTATAATCATCTTCTTCCCATTATGTCGTTCTGCCCCTTCTGCCTTGCTTCAAGGTGGCCTTCGTTGGGATCCGACTTGAAAGTGAGTGCCCCGTGCCTTGGCAATGATCATCCCAGGATTCATCCACATGCTATCAGAACTCAGTCGAGAGGAAATGCTGCCGATGGAGATGTTGCTTGAGATGTTTGAGAAGGCGCACAACCGAATCAGCAAAAACCACAGTCGAACCATATTGCTCGTACTCTTCTCATGCTATGTTCACACCAATTAACATGTCAAAACTTAGATAATCTGCATGTATCTGTATAGTCTAAGGAAGTTTCGTAGAGAAAATCCGACTTACGGATGGTTTTCCAGAAGTCTTTGAGTCCAGTTTTGAGATCCCGGAGTTAGCTACAAAATTCATTTTAAAAATGAATTTCTTTTATAAAAAACTATGTTTTTTTAATGAAAAATATGATTTTTTATGATGAAATTTATGATTTGTTTTTTTTGCCTGAAAAAAGGTTATGATTTTTTATGATTTTTTTTATCTTTTTTTTTTAAAAATGTTTTTTCGTTTTTTTAAATGATTTTTAATGATTTCTTAATGATTTTTTTAATGGTTTTTTAGTTATTTTTTGAACATGATGTTTTTTTTTTTTTAATGAACATTTATGTTTTTTTTTTAAAAGGAAAAATACGTTTTTTTTTGAAAACATATGTTTTTTTTAAAAAAAAAATGAAAAAATACGTTTTTTTAATGAACAAAATATGATTTTGTATGAAAAATATGGTTGTTCTTATGATTTGTTTAAACGGTTTTCTGTGTTTCATGATTTTTTTAATGAACATTTTATATTTGTTTTTTGTTTTTTTAAAGTTTTTTTTGTTTTTTCATGATTGTGATGATTAACAAAATCTATAACACAGAAATGTTAACACATGGAGAACATTGAACAAACAGCGACTTTGCATTTATTTATTTTGGCGTTGATTTTAGGATTGGTGTTTTTCTGATCAGTGGTTGGTGATGTGTTTTTTAATGATTTTAATGATTTTTTCAAATGATGTTTAAAGATTTTTTGTGTTATTATGTTCTTCACTATTGGGATGCTACGCCAGGATTTGGCCAGTAATGGTTCTAGGCCCAAAGGCCTGTGGTAAGAAATTTTGTTTGATGTAAAATCTATAGAAACCAAACGCCATCATGTTCCTAAAAAAACAGTTCAGAGTTTTGTTCAGGGGTCCAGCTTTGTGCTGGGCAAGGTGCATCATCAGTTCAAAATGTGTGACCTATCCTAAGGCTAGTTTCTTTTCTCGGTTTTCACTTCTTTGCTGCCAGGTCCGAGATTCTAGAGCCTCAAGCCTGGAGCCTAAGGCCTCACTAGAGCCCTAAGTCCTGGAGCCTGGGGACGTTGCTTTCCTGAACAATCCAGAAAAAAATCCTGGGACGTTGCTTTCCTGAACCAATCCATAAAAAAATCATAAAAAAATAATAAAAACTCATAAAATAAATCATAAAAATCACACAAATCA